CTAAGGTCTGAAGGTGAGACTGGCAGTACTGTAATAAATAAATAAATAAATAAATAATAAATAAATAAATAAATAAATAAATAAATAAATAAATAAATAAATTTACCTCCGCCTCGTGGCATTGTGCTGATTTTAAAGTGACATATATATAGCGACGCACCAAGAGTCGTGAAGACAAGACAGGAACAGCGGGGCAGAAAGACACGAGCGTGCATCTTTAAACGAAGCGCTAACACACACTTCTTCGTTATCTTTGCCCTTTTCGGCTCGCCAGGACTTGCAGGCTCACAACTCTAGGTGGCATTATTTCCCCTCCCATTAGAGCATCGACTCGACGCTCATACACAAGGGGGCAGCAGGGCCCGTAAGGGAATAAAAAGAAGGGAGAAACGATATATAGTGCACAGGACATATGCAGGTACAAACAAAAAAAAGTCTGTGGTTGGTCATAAGAAAAAAAAAACATTAATATATATAGTTCAAAGTTCGTTCGAGACCCTAAGGACAACGAAAAAAAAAAAAGAAAATGTTTGCTGCCCTGGCACAATAAGGTGAATATTACCGCACAAATTAAGGTTTTAAGCTGACGACATGCACAATCTCTGTTCGTGGTGAGTGGCGCTGGGTCGTTGCCGAGCCTCCGTCTGGAATAACTTTGTAGTTGACCTCGTTCAACCGCCGAAATACTTTGTAGGATCCGAAGTATTTGCTCAGGAGTTTCTCGCTGAGACCTCGCCGTCTAACAGGAGTCCAAACCCGCACTTGGTCGCCAGGTTGATAGCTAACTGGTCGATGGTGGATGTTGTACCTTCGGGAGTCTTTACATTGCTGCGATCTTATGTGCACGCGAGCTAGTTGACGTGCTTCCTCTGCACGCTGAATGTATTCCTCGACATCAGGAGCTAGCAGCTCGTGCTGGTCGATGTCACGAGGAATCATGACGTCTAGCATGGTTTGCACGTCTCGACCGTAAACGAGGCGGAAGGGTGCGAACCTTGTCGTTTCCTGGGTTGCGGTGTTATACGCAAACGTTACGTATGGCAGGATCTCGTCCCACGTCTTATGCTGCACATCCACGTACATAGAAATCATGTCAGCCAGTGTTTTGTTTAGCCTTTCTGTCAAGCCGTTACTCTGGGGGTGGTGTGCGGTTGTTTTACGGTGGTTAGTGTAACTGGGCTTGAAGATGTCGTCCAACAGTTTTGCCGTAAACGCTGTCCCTCGGTCAGTGATGATGAATGACGGGGCGCCGTGACGAAGCACAATGTGGTGCATGAAAAACTGGGCGACTTCAGATGCTGTACCGCGTGGCAGTGGCTTTGTCTCAGCGTAACGCGTCAAGTAATCAGTTGCGACGATGATCCACTTGTTTCCAGAGTGAGACAAAGGAAATGGTCCAAGGAGGTCCATTCTAACTTGGTCAAACGGCGTACGCGGTGGGTCGATGGGTTGTAGGAGGCCTGCAGGCTTGTCCAGTATGAGCGGCCTCGCCCCAGAAGGGCGCTGTGGTTAGTTTTCCCGGCGTGGACTGGATGACTGACCCTGCGCCACGCTCGAAAAGGTACGGCGATTATAGGAGGAAATCGCCGCGGTGACGGGGAGCGTGACTGGTGCAAGGATGACGAAGTTCCGCGCTGCTGAGCCTCATACTCTTCGATTTCAGGGGGCCGCTGACCAAACCTGGGTGGCGGTGAGTTCGTCGAAAATCCGCGTAGTCCAAGTTGTCGGTAAGAACAGTGTCGGTACAGATGCCCAGCTTTGCCACAGTGGAAGCAGAGAGGACGTCGATCTGGCGCACGCCAGACGCATGATTTCCGCGAAATCAGGCGAGGTGCGCTGTAATATGGCGCCGCTTGGACCGTCTGCAGCATGGCTGGGGCCACGGTGGGATGCGGGATTGCGGGTTGCCGCAAAGCTTGAGCATACGACATGCGGGGATATTTTGTCACATATATTTTGTCAAGTTTTCTCCTCTCTGTGGTCAAAACATCCGAACCTTCCTGACCATGCATTCGACAAACTATCAGTAACACTCTTAGAAACGGGATTGAAATCAAGCCAAGCAGGTGAACAGCGAGAGTCTTACTTTATTTAACACCCTCAATATAGGAATAAATGAGAATCCGGGTACAGTTGCACCAATTAAAGTATTAGAAAACAATAACGGCAATAGCGACAATAATAACTGAGTTCACAGCACTGCAGCTGCGACGGGCACTGGACAACTCAAAATACTTCCAAGTGTAACTACTCTTCCTAAGTACAGCTGCCGTCTGTTTCTGTTTCTACCTTACTATCCAATCAATTGTACCAAGCATGACGTGGCCAACAGCAACCCTGTGCACAATCGGGAGGCCCCTACTGCACGCGTAATCCAGAAGCGGGCTAGAATTGACATTGCACTCGCTTGCCAGCCTCTGCGGCAATACGTGGCGCCCCTCTTTCAACAACAAGATGTCCACGAGTAGCTGAATAGTTAAAGGCTTAAACTTCTGAAAAAAGCTCTTTTTCCCCACACTGAACCGCAAGAGCCATGCGGCGCCATCTGGTCGGGAACAATACGTTAGTGGAAGGAAGGATACGCAGATCGCGGGCATCCCGAAGGTTAGCGCCAGAAAAACAAGAAAGAAAGAAAGAAAGAAAGAAAGAAAGAAAGAAAGAAAGAAAGAAAGAAGAGTAAGGGGGCGGCGGGGGAGTTAACAATGCCCTCTCCGAGCCTTCCGCGGCGTCTGAATAGGCAGCTCGAGCACCCAACGGTCCCTCGCTATCACGGATAATGGCGGGGGCTGCGCCGCTTAGTCGGAGAGGTACAATGGCAGAGCGGGGAGCATGGCTGAAAGTGAGGCGCAGGTGTGCAAGTTTAGTCGGTGTCGCTGCGCCACCAGCGCGCGCGTCACCAGCACGTCAACTCCAGAGGCGAACCAATAGCGCGTGAGCAATCCTGAGGCTGGCACTGGCGTCCTCCTCGCACTCTTTCTTTTCTCTCTTTCGTGTGATGCGGGGCCAGCAATGCCAAATACGCGGCCGGGGGAGCCCACCTCATATTGCACTGTTGTGATTTTTATGCACACAGCGCTTGTTCCGATAGCGTAAAAAAGGGTGACATGTAATCAGTTTTACATGCACTGAGACAACACATGTATACATGCGAGTCTTGTGTCATGCATATTATAGTATTACACGAGACGCTTTTTATGCATTGCCTCTCAACGTTCCGCATGAAAACAATCATGTTGATGGCGTCCTCCCCAACAGTATATATAATTTGCATCATTGAATTTTAATGACTGAAAGTCAAAGAAATGGAATTTTAAATGTAGGGCAACCCCTAGAGAACCAAAGATGTTTTGAGCGTTTCTATCTACTTACCGACATATCTGGTTAGCTACGTCTTGGTACTCTCGTATTTGCCTCATCACTTAGTAAAGTCTAAAATCGGCATAGGGGGGGGGGGGGCATGAAGGTATGAGAACATGTGTATGTTGCCGCATTACGTGAAAATCGTGTGTACGTCATGAAACTCTTTCTTTCAGTCATCTGCACGGGCTGCGGTATGCTGTTATGCGCCTTAAAGTTTGTATCTTCCTAGGAGCAGCGACAACAGAGGAGGAAGAAACTTTATTCAGAAAAAAAAAAAAATTGAAATGCAGGCAGTTTGGTCGGGCCCTCAGTCCAGGGCTCCGCTGGTGTCGGTAATTTAAACGCGAGAACCTTTCAAAAATCTGGCATTGGTAGCGTCGATACAATTAGTGCAAAGAATAAAAATCAGGATCCTAGAAGGAATCAAAATCCAGCATTTCATGTGGTAGTCATGTATTCTACCACAGAACCACGCAAGGTAATGTATATGCTTTGGTAAAGGTACTGTGCTGACATCAAGTCGGTGCTAGGTGATTACGGCGGACTATGCTAGCTATTTAAGTTCATAACAAAGAGATTAGCATTTTATATGTACTCCTGCTATACATATGCACGTAATGTCCAGTCAACATCAGTTGTAGCTACATCGCACCACAAGGAGCCTTCAAAGACAATCGTCATAGCAGAAATTTTGGAAACTTTTTTCTATATTAAAACATTCCCCGGTAACTTTATAATTTCCTCGTAACAATATAATTGAGTGATTATTGTGGTGAAGGAAAACTTCACCTTAGTTGTTGGTTTCCCCAGCGTGCAGCCGATAGTGACCACTGTAAAAAGTGGGAACGGGGGCTCAGCCTCCCCAACTTTTCTCAGTGGGGGGGCAGGGGGAGCTCGCGCCTCTTTTGCCCCCCCCCCCCGGCTATTACGCCTATGGGTACATGTAATGTATGAAAAATTGAGTAGGCAGCACTGCAACCATTATTGATGTTTCACGAAGATTAGCGTCTATTTGAAAAGTAGTTCCGAGACCTGATGTAGCTCTGTAGTAAAATTCTGCAATGCCACGCAGAATATGCTTGGGTTCGATTCCAGCTGGGACCCTTAGATATATTCTTTGCATTCGTCGGGTCGACGATACCAATGTCGGGTATTTCTCAACGTAAAATTACCCGTGCGTGTTCTCGTCGTTCCTGGGTAGACTGAGTGTGTAACACCTATGGCACATACGCGCATACCTACTGCACATACGGGTATGTGCCACTGCCTGGCGGGAAGTGTTTGACGACGTACGCGACGGGAATGTGACATTATTCATGTCTTGACTAGCGCATCATATTCGTCAAATTATCTTACTCTGTCATGCTAAGTTTGGTTCACGCCAAGATATGGGGTGACCACGAGAGCACCCAAACGTAAGTGGCAAGATAGATAGATAGTTACATACGCTCAATGTCGCATAGGTTTGCTAAAAAATGCTTTGAACTTAATACAAAACCATATATTTCTAGCTAAGAATGGTATAATTATTGACAAATAACATGCGGCGTTTATTCTTTGGACACAGCTGCGCGCTATATTTCGCGCGCTCGTGCGAAATCCGTCTGGCAACAAGCACTGTCTTTTTATGGACTCTTTTTTGTTCTTCTCATGCGTGCGGTAGTTACAGCGTCGTTTCCCAAAGGTGGAGATGTTTATGTTTGTGCCTGGACCAAGCGGCGACTATGCTTCCATCGAACGGCTTCTTTAATAAACTGCCGTGTCCTTTCTTTGCGTCGGGACTCTGCGAGCGGCCTCATTGCCACTTCAGCCATGAGAAAAAGGGTAAGCGCCCCCTTCGGTGCTGGGGCTCAGTGTGCGCGCGACAACTTTTCTCTTCGGCTTGAAAATCCACGCCGAGGACCCGAAATGCCCCCCAAACTAATCACCGACGCGTTCACGACTACATCTAGTTTCAGTACCGATCACATTCGCTGGTGTGTTCAACAACAGTCGTTTCCGAGTGCTGTGTACAAAAGGCAAGCGCTGCCGAGACGGCGTGCAATTGAAAGACACGAGCTCAACGGGCGAATACACGATCTGCAAGGACTGAGATAGTGTTGTCGCTCACCTTATGAGTGAATGTGGTAGATGAGCTGCGCCGTCTCGAACCTGAAGCGAACCTAAACTCGGACGATACATCACTCGCCGCGCACGAGTCCTTTCGATGTTGCGAAAGAGTTCAAGTTGGCGGGCGAAAAAACAATTGGCAGGCGTTGAAAGATTTTCATAGCGGATATCCGCGAGGAGATGCGTAATAGCTCGAGTTTAACGCGTACTAGAGCCGCCGATGTGACGACCATTCATTGTATGGGCGTGCCGTCACGTTCTCTGGTCGTCTTCATCCTGGGGCCCGCGTATCGACGGTAGGTCCATTCTTGCGTGTGAGCTAAAAAAAAAAATCTGATTAGACGACGCGTTTACAAACACCAGCACGTGGAAACTGCTCGTCGCAGTTCGCTTGCGGGAAAGGTTCATTGCTAGGTGTGGGTGCACTTGACATGTCCGGACGTGCTTGAACGTGCTCGCCGCCTAGGGAAGCGAATCCCCGTCAATGCCTTCCCACTAAGATCTCTGTTAAGTCCCTTGACCCTTTTCTCAAGCACATTAGGCTAGGGAACATAGACTGATCATGCATCACAACAAACACGTCTGAGACAGCTACATTCTGCAAAGTAGTCACACTCATGCGGACAGTGTGCTAAACTAAATGTTTCGACCTTTGCTGAAGCTTTTCTAACCACAAACTTCTAACTTTTATCTCTGTGCCGTCTTGTATAACTTGTACAAAAGATGCCTTTTTTTTTTACTCTTAACGAGGAAACTACCTTCAACAGAGCCCATAACTTGTTCAGAAAATACATGCCGGGTAATTGCTGTTGTCCCGTCTGTCATATGTTTACGTGTCGGGTGTTTGTTTACAGATCCCTGATTTGAGCGTCAGGTATTTGTTTACAAACATCTACTGTGTTCTTATGTTCATATAAATACACAGCAAATGCCTCATACTCTACAGTGAGAAAAACATTTGTCCTGTTGCAGTGCAAGCCTAGTGACATTGATAAATTATTCTGAACAATGGGGCATGAAGTAGTTACTACGGGACACCCACTATGGCAGTGTAAAACTTTTGAAGGCAGCACCAGTTACACCTCGAAGACGAATGCATACAAGCCTGTACGGTTGAACCCTTGCTCTTGATTGGCATCATCAGCTGCACGCTTGGTGATACCGCTGTGTTCTTTGAGCAGAATTCACGAGCGGGTTTTTTTTTTTAATTGCCTGGGCGATTGGCTGGTGTTCTTCAGTCATACAGGTGGGGCCTCTGCTCCCTTATTAAATAGGCCTACACTTTTCTATGTAACCATCGGATGGCTTCACTAAAGGACTTCATTGCCTCACGAATCTAAGGGCCTCAAAATATTTAGAATCCGTCTAGTACGAGCAGAGTTACAGAAATTTGTTGCATGCTGTGACTGCTTTCTTCTCTCATTTCGATGAGTGCACTAAGAGCGGAGCAGGGAGGGATGGCACAGGGGAAGTAAGTGGCGAATGTCGTGGGTTGTATGGCTATTAGAGTTGCTGCAGCGTTTTGCATCATACCCGTCCATGATCACACTTACAGTAAGCTTTTTGCTCAGAGAAAAAAAAAAAAAACTAGCAATTTTTTTGTGCACGAGTACAACCGGGGATGAAAGCTCCTTATAAATGGGGCGCAAATGACTATGGTCTGATCTCACAGCTGGCTTTCATGAAGGCGGTAGGGTGACGAGAGTGTCTGGTGCACTTGGGGGTGGGAATGATTGAGTGAGTGAGAGAGTGTGCGGAGCAGCGCGAGCCAGCCCAAGCAATGGACCAACCACTGGGCAGAGTGGAACCCCGAAGGTGCCACGGGATTGAAGACTGGGCGAAGTGGTGGTTCTTGTGCATTTGCCGGTATGAGGAGAGAAGGCAGTGAGGAAAAATGAGAGAGGGAGAAAGGCGGGAGAGTGGTGCGAGCAGTGATGCAGCGGGGAGCCTTTCGACGGCTGGGTGCAAGACTTAGAAGCTTGGCTCATAATGAGAAATGTCATGGTGCATGCTCATGTAGGGATGTAGCTTCTTGTGCCTTTGTCAACCCTCCACTTCCAGCGGAGCTTTCTGTGCCCTCTCGGGGATGAAAGGAAAGAGTGATTACTTGGAGCTTGTGACAATCACCTTTAGTTCTACTCTTACTTGACGTAATCTGAAAGTTATTGTGGCAATCGATTTGCGAGTCAATAAGCTCCAATACTCATGTAATTCATGATTACTTGGAAAACTACTCCAGGAGCCCTTCCTGTCGCATCCGACTGTGCTGCTACCACTGTGTCACCTGCCTCCATTTTATTTCTCCCGTCTTCCTTCCTTCGAGGAAAAGGAGCCCCATTGTTTACTGGGTAGAACAATGTAACTGACTGCTTAATGCGTCCTTGCAGTAAGAGGCCTGCTGAACAGCCTATTCCAAGCACTGTTGCACGTAATTCTGTCTACCGCAGTGGGGTTGATACTGCGGTAGTGTTGGAAGCATAAGTGGTGGTTTTGTCTCCGTGGCACAATGGCAGCCCCCCAAAGAAAAAGAAAAAATTGTGACAGCTTAATCCTAGCGATGCCGAGCATGAAGGAAATGAGAAACTGAGCAGCCTTCTTTGTTTCTGCGGGGTTTTCTCATTCTTTCCTGCTGCCTTTTCCAGTCTTTTTGTGCATTTTTCTGTTTTTATTTCTTCTATTCTTGATGTTTCTTCCCTTTCTTTCTCACTCTGTTTCTTGCTTGCTTCCTCTTTCACTTTTTACACGTTGCTTGTGATGTCATGTTTCTCTGGCCATAGTAGCAATGTCTACACTTTTATGTCATCATGAAGGCGCTCGAAGAACAAGAGGAAGTCTCTTGGGTGCAAACATGCGTTCGATATGCTGCAGTTGGCTATGTTATGCGTGGTGCTGTCTACAGTTATGCTTATCGATGACGACAGCCTAGCTACATAAAGGGCTTCGCACTCAAAAGGTTAATTAACGAGTGTGGGCATGTTCAACAAACTACTTGTCATTGTAAAACTATGACTTCAAAATTCACCACTGCAGTTGTGATGAGTCCCGTGTAGTCTGCACGAAGAATATAGTTGGATTTGGGTCTGTCAGATGATGCAAGGTCTGTCAGCTTCACTTGAAGGGACACTAATGTTATGAAATGAATCAATTTACATTGATAGTTGCAGTCTGAAAACTCAAGTGTTTTCAATTTCACAATTGTAGGTTCAGTAATGGAGGAGAAGATCAAGGTTGAAGGGGGACTAACACAAATTTAGGTCGGCAGAGATAGCTTGCGGGATCGATTCCCGTGAACATGCGTATTTCATCTGCAAATTATCAATGGCCAATATAGCTTCGAAGGTATTTAAAATAAATTTTGACGTTTCGCGGGAGCGATCGACTCCATCGCTCTATTAACACCCTCAAAGGGGACCCCACGGAACCCCCTACTTCCCTCACATGACCTCGCTACAGCAAGTTACGATGACGTCATAACCACCTTTTTTTTGGTCGTGTTTGCTCCAACAGACTATTATTCAGCAGCTGCTCGTGAGTCCATGTCCTGCGGCGCAAGAGTTGAAAGTTGTGTGTTTGATGACACTGCTGTCTAGTTTACTGTTTGAAAAAACTTCCTGATGTGAATCGCGCGGAAGTGCATCACAGTACTTTGTGCTGCCATGGTCGAGCGTTGCACCCGCTAGGTAGTGAGGGTTGCACTCGGTGGCTTGTCGTTTTTGAAACCGATACTGAAACTGGTAGGTAGGTAATAGTGAGCCTGTAATTAATTATTTGTTGCATGCTGCAGGAAACTATCTGTCGTGTTAAGCTACATCCCTAACAGTACCACAGGAACACATTTCAGCAAAGAAACGTGAGGCCAAAAAGTTTGTGCCAATACCCCTCTGAAGCTTTAATTTTAAAATTTCCTGCCTAAATCTCTGCGCGGGCCAGTCACAGATTCCAAAGTGCATTTTTTGTATTTTGGTAACATTTACTCAACTAAATTCCCAAAACTTGATGTGCTGAATTTATAGCCTCCTCCAAGGACAAATTCACTTAAATTTTATTGATTGTGAGTTGTGTATGACTTAGCAGACGCCGCTTAAGATCTATGACATCACGGCATCTTGTGCGAAAACTTCAAGGTGGTGTCACCACCTGCATTTTTTCGCTTATCATGTATCTTCTTGCAGCAAGTGCGACGTTTTTTTGCTATCGTCAGAGACTAATTCACTTATCTTAGAAAAATAATTTCTCTCTTTTATGTCCCTTCAAAGTGTTACCATCACATTCACTGCAGTCGGCTGGGACTGACACTGCCATGAACAAGGTAGTCAGTTTACAATACCCAGCAATTTTGTGCATTGTAAATGAAAAGCCTTAGCCTGATTCTTATCAATTGGGCAACAGTTGAACTGGTTCTCAGGTGTTACTTTACGTGTTTCCAGTTTCTAAGCAGGCTCATAGACGTGCTATCCTGTAGTTACGTTTTCTGATAATGTGCGGTCTAGGTTGCATCTAGCTCAGCTGACCTTCATATGAAAGACTGAAAAAGGGAAAATAGACAACCACCTATTGTAGCACAAAACCACAAGGAAATTATACATATTTTTCAGAAAGAAAAGCTGAAATGCAGTAGAATGACTGTGACGGAAATGTGTTAATCTGGGGTTCAAACCCCAAACCAGGACAAATATTTGGGCAACTAGGAAGCTTTTCTTTATGAAGAAGGTTTTCTTCGTGTTATGAATAGGTGGTTGTCATTTTGTCCTTTCTTGACCCTTCTGCCTTCTTGCGGGATTGTACAGTGCTCATTCGCAATATAAGACAGAGGATATGAAACCTTTGTTTGCTGAGAAATACACTGCTGCTTGAGAAAAAGTATACAGGGGCATTCGTTTAGATATGAGTGCCATATTCTGTTGCAAACATTTATGGCAACACCTGGGGCTACATTATGAAGATCAGTTAAAGAGTAGCCTATAAAAAAAATTTCATAATTTAGAAAGCTTGGCAGGCGGTGGCATTGCGGTTACTTTTGCTGTAATTGCACTGAATGGCATGGGATTTTTAAAAAGCACAAATCTATGCCTCTGGCCAGGGTTATTGCATATACTGGCAGCAGGAGGGGGGGGGGGGGGGGGCTTCAGCTGTCTTTGCATTAGAAGTCTCATATTTATTCAGAAAATGTTTCTGGCGCATATGTGGAGCTCAATGACTGTGACCTTTAATGAAGCTATTGTGGTCCAAGGTTGACATAATTGTGGGTAGGTATTGACGTCAACAAGCTGAAGGTAATGTAAATGTTATAGATTTTTATCATAACTAGAGGCCAGATTTTTAGGCACTTAAAGATTACACTTCAGGTGCAAAAAATAGGCAGGTAAAACACAGCTTTCGGCCCCCAAAGTTGTAAATATAGGCACCATATATTTTTTTTCAGAAATTCAAACGTTTTGCCAGATCCTTGTCTATGGCATGAAAGTAAAAAAAATTACGATGGCACAAAGGCGCTGATAGTTTGTCATAGCCTTGCAGCTGTCCTTGTTTTCACATGATTTTTAGGAGAGAGTTTCTCGTTTCATTGCCCAGCATGGAGAGTTAAGCGTCCAACATAGAATAAACCCGCTCCCGAGTCTCTTTCTTTCACCCCCCCCCCCCCTCCTTTTTTTCTAACATAAAGAGCCCAAAATAACACTCGGCCACATATGTGGGCCCCTGTGCCACTTCAGATCAAGTAGGTGTGCCTCCCTCCACCCCCCCCCCCCCCCCCCACAAAAAAAAAAAAAAAAGATTTCTGGCTATGCCCTTCCCCGTATTGGCCGGTTGCAATACTTGTGCCGGGTCAATTTCTCCTCTGTCTATGAACACTTTAAAGGTGCTTATAGACAGAGGAGAAATTGACCCGGCACAACTGGATTAAAGGGCTGCTCACTAGGTTTGAGAATTTTAAGCTGGCATGTGCATTGCATGCACTGGGCACTCAAGTTCACATCTGCTAAGATTTCACATCTGCCAAGATCACGCGCCCTGGAAAGAGGTGAAATGTCAGACTGAACGTCGCTTGCCTTTCATCTCATGGGTGCATGCACCAACATGAAGGAGGGGACGTGACGTAGAACAAGAAATATTCCTGTGTACATCAGAGTTTTCTGTGACACTGTCAGAATTATTAGGGCGACTTGTATAATTTGGGAAGTTGTTTCTTGAGTAGAAAACTGTAAGTTGATAGAATTGTAAAAAAAAAACAAAAATGGAATCTGTGCATGTTTTTATTAATTCTTTTTTAGTTCAAATTGAGCAAGATGCGAAGCTAAGCTGCCTGCATTCGTGTTGTCGCCGTTCCCATGTAGGGCTGGCACCAGCGCTGACAACGCTTGCCGCATTTTTGTGCATCGTTCCTTACAGCACGTCTAGCAGTGTGACACGGTGTATTGTGGAAAGTATACATGATCCATACCAGACTTTCCAAACGTGTGTGCATAGGGGGATCCATTCCATAAAAACAGGCATTGGACACTACACAGAATGTCGAAACGGCACAACACCACTTGCGTGCATGACCTGGCTGGGCGTGTCTTCCACATGTAACCTTGCGTGCGCATGACGTGTTGATGCATCTGCGTCATGTGATCTTCCGTCTTCAAGTTGCTCCGATACTGAAAAAGCAGGGAAGGACTTGTCGAGTGGCATACGTTTCAAGCTGAATTCCTCGTATCATGCTTTTGTGGCTCAAATTGATCCAATAAAAACATTCTTGTGATACAAAGCTTTTGCTAGACACAACTTCCTGTGTCTAACTAAAATTTTTTATGTGACCTGGTGAAGTGCTCTTGACACTGATGGTACATGCTGTAGTATAATAAAGCATGCCAGTGCCCCGTCTCAAGCACATCATCATCATATGTTAGTAAATGAAGAGTAAACGAAAAATAAAAACTTTGTGCGGAGTTTTTTTATGGGTCCTAAATGATAATTCACATAGTTTCTGTCACAGTGTAAGTGGTAAGGCTTTGTGTGCCATCCTGTTACCTTAGAGGGGTGCACAAAATCTGCCCTCATACATTAGTAGGGAAAAGGGGGGGCGCTGGGATAAACCATTGTCTCCCCTTAATGGTAAACCCTGTGCATATTGCTTGCGGGCAGTGCCACCTGTTGGTATCAATTTATTCTATGTCAGTCAGGAACAGGTGTGTTTGATTGGCATGTGGCGAGAGATATCTATTTTAAACACACTCATTTTTTTAATATAAGCTGATTGCATGCTGGCTCACGCGTGCTTTTTTTCTGGTATCGATATTCTATACCTTAGGCACAAACTTCACTCATCCAAAACGATTTGGGGCCAGTTAGGCAAGGACTGGGGGGAGAGGTGCTCGTTTGCAATTGGAAATGGATTAATGAAAATGTTAGTGACTCAAGTTCCTACTCTGGTCTGTATTACTGTGCTGTCTATATTATTGCACCAAGCTCACAGTGCAGATTAAGGGTAGCTCTTAACGTTGTAGAAATCTGTTGGATACTGTGCTGTGTTGCTCGGGGCACAGTTGCATGCATTTTATTCAGCTTGCACGAAGCTTTTTGTTGGTGTGCACACTCTTACTCTTGCTTTTAGGAATCTCTCTGCTGGGTCTACAAGCTAACACCGTCCAGCCTGCTGATGAGTCCAGTCAGCTCTTGGAGTATGTCAATGATGCCCTGCGCCGAGTCCGGCAGGACATGGTTCAAGTCTCGTCACTTGGGTGAGTGAACTGCTTGTCGCCTTGGTCACTGTCCCGATGATTAGTGCATGGAGGTGTAACTTACACGGTAGCGCTGATCTTAGCTCCCTTTTTTCGTGGTTTTAATTGCTGCGCCATACACTAGTCAAGAAAAGGTGTATTCAGGAGCTTTTCAGCAACACAACAATTGAAAATATTGTGACAATATCTTGCCTGTTTTCCTATCATTACCGCTGTGTGCTCGGTAGTTCCCAGTCATTAATAGCGTGTGGCTATCAGTGGGGCATAGTGTATGGGATCTGGCGTAGAGCAGCAATAGATTCACTTGATCTGGCCGATGTACTTAAGAAAGGTTTTTATTTACACTGTTTTAGGCGATGAAGACTGTGCTAGCAATCAACTTTCTCGATTTCTTCTCTCAAGCTTGCTGGCATTTCTGCATCTGTAGGTTTGCTGGCACCTGCGATACGGAAAACAATAACGCTCTTGATAGAAAAGGAGAGAGTGCACAGTTTTCGTGAAATGAAGATCATGATGATGAGCGTCGGCATTGTACTTTGTTATTGTTGAGGCATTTATTAGCCGGCAGTCAGCTATCACGCGTCATGGCAACAGTCACAGCAATGCACGGACTCTCAGTGCGAACTGGCTCCCTTCTCGGAGATGACCCACTAAAAGGCACTCGAGAGTGCAACCCATTTCCAGGTTCAAAGGTTTCACTACAGTATATTGATCCTAAGCGGCATCACTCACATTAACTCACTAATAGAGGGCGCTGCTCAGTGGTTACGGATGTTTTATGTATGGTATTATTTAACCGTATCAATAAACTGTGCAGCCGAACTTTGCATTGTCCTTTTGTTACTCTTAAAACACCATCGAGCTGTATGACAGTTGTTGCCGTGTGGCAGAAAGACACCCCACACAGCCGCAAACGTTTGTTGTAAAGTGTAAGGAATACCACCTCCTCTAGTGACTTGGAGGCTGTACATTCGGTCCCTGGCATATTTGTCACTTTCAACAATTAGAAGTGTCTAGTACCACTAGCACTGTTGGTAGCACTGTACTTCAGTTGCATGCACTCTTTCAAATACTAGTCATTTTTTTAGGGAACTACAGTTTAGAGAACTTTATCTTTTGTGTCTAAAAATATTGCTATATTTCTAAACATGCTTAATATTCTTGCTAGATTTTTCATGCTGGTTTCCCTGCTAGAAACTGCACATATCCTGTGTGCAGCAAAGAATCGAATAAGTGAATGCCGTCAATATTGCTTTGCTGAACGTTTAGGCTAACTGTGCCTCGTTGTGCAGGTACGTGCCTACGCCTGTGGCAGCACATCCGCCAGAACCGAAGCCAAAGCGCTACATCCCAGCCCAAAGCGTGCCCCAGTATCGGCCCACACCTCTGGCCGAGCTGCGCAGGCGTAACCTCCTGACTAACCGCCCGCCAACCCAGCCGAACCAGATTAGAAGGGCGGCTCCAGTGGCACTGGGTAAGGGCTCTTCAGGGGTGACTCCGCACTATGAGCATTTATTTCGGAGTAGATGGTCAGGTCCCATCTGGAGATTAAAGTGGACATCTCGCCAACAGTAGGGTCTGATTGGGAGCCAGTGTGCAGTTTAATCTGTTGCTAAAAAGAAGCCCAACGTAAACGTGACAGAGGAGAACAATGTACCAGCCTGTAATATACGTTGGCATAAGGAAGTGTTTCATTACGAAGGTAAGCTAATGTGTGTTGCAAAATGTGAGGACTAGGAAGTGCTGATAAGGTAAACAGAATGACAATGTTGAAAAAAAAAAAAACGGTGCCTGCTGAAGTAGTGAGGTTGTGTAACAGTGTCTATATGTGAGCCAGTTGGTACATATTCATATTTAAAACATACAGTGCTGGTTCTGTGCTGTTGCATGTCCATGTTAATAGTGCAAATATTTGGGCAAGTTGGGGGTCCATTGTACTGACAGCAGTGCAACAAAGGATGATTAACTGCACAAGTCAATTGAGGCAGCAGAAATAGGGAGACTTGGCAGTAACTGCATGAGCATCTCGCCCATTGCCCTGACGGAAGTTCACCATTTGTTCTGGTGAACTTGTCACGCATGACTGGCGAAAGCGCATTACTAGTGAAAGTGATATAGGCCGATTCGTCATTTTGGTTTTTTGCAAATACTGGCTTGCAATACTTTATTGACGTGTCATTTCATTTTGATATTCTGCTTCGTTTAAAGAATAAACTTCATTTGTAAGCTCCGCATCCGTCTGTGTTTCTTCCTATCCCTTGGCCCTTGTTGCGCTGTTGTCAGTATCCATGTTGATGTTGCACTGTTCTTTTAACTATCGATATTTGCCAACATCATTGAGATTCAGAATACACTGCGTATGCTCTCTCAAGAAAAGCGAAGATAAGATGGTAGTGTGGAGCATATTGCTTGGCTAGGTGTTTTGTGGTGCTGGTATCAATGCATCACATGCTCTTTTGGTGCGGAAGTGGGAGCAGTCTCAAACAACTGACGGACTGATGGCATCACCAGCTGGCACGCCACATCTAGAAGCACCCGTTGCAATCTGCTTTTTTGTTTTAAATGAATATGCTATTTCAGGTTGAATGAGTTACTAGTCATTTTTGCTGGCCACATTTGATTGCTAAGGTTACTGCCCGACAATTAGCAGTAATCAGACTGGATGGCGCTTTCTCGACATTGTCCACCACAACCTGGTACGCAAAGTGACTCCGCGCAACATTTAGCGAATAATCTGAATGTCTTCATCACTGCAAATTTATTTATCCTGAGTGTTTTTCTTTCAGCCGAGCCAGTCAAGCAGTTGAAGTCCCCAGAACTGAGCAGTGACGACAGCAGCCAGGTGAACGGCAGTGGCGTAAATGACGAGGATGATGCAGACATGGTGCAGGAGGAAGTGGACGCCATTGTTCGGCTCAAGGACAAGCGTCTCGGAGGGCCGGACGGCTCCTTTGCAAAGCCTTCCTCTGAAGCTCGAGCCACAGATGTTGCCAAGGACAAAGACAAGGCATTGAAGGAGACTGCTAAGCACGAGCCACCAGACAAAGAGAAGGAAGAGGCAAGAGAGGAGAAGTGTGAAGAGAGCAGGGTGAAAGAAGGAGGAGACGGGAACATAGCAAACGGTGATATTGCAGAACAAGCTCGAAAGGAGGAAAGCTCGGAAGGGCACCACTCAGGACACTCGTCCACAAGCAAGGGGCATTCGTCATCCAAGCATGATTCATCAAACAAGCACTCGTCCTCTAAGACTTCACAGTCAAAGCATTCATCATCTAAACACTCATCTTCGAAGCACTCATCGAAGGAACGGTCCTCCAAAGAGTCATCATCCAAAGAGCCATCATCCAAGGAAAAGTCATCCGCAAAAAGTTCATCGAAAGAATCATCAACCAAAAATTCTTCATCGAAAGGGAATTACAGGGACTTGTCATCAAGAAGATCCAAGGAGTCGTCATCCAAGCACTCATCTTCTAAGGAGTCTTCAGCTAAGGAGTCCACTAGCAAGGACTCCTCATCCAAAGGTGCCTCTCCCCAGGAAACCTCATCCAAGGTTTTGTCCTCCAAGGAATCCCCATCGAAAGAGACCTTTTCTAACGATTCCCTGTCCAAGGAGTCATGCAAAGAACCGCAGCTGAAAAGTCCCTCCGAAGAGGGTTCCTCATCGAAGTCAGCATCGAAGCCACCAGCTAAAGAGTCGTCTGACAAGCATTCATCGTCGAGACACTCCTCTTCGAAGCACTCGTCGAAACATTCATCTTCGAAGAGCTCATCTTCGCACCGTTCATCGTCAAAGAACTCATCTTCAAAGCAGTCATCGTCGAAACATTCTTCTCATCACTCTCCCTCTAAGCATTCTTCTTCTTCGTCACAGTCACTCGTCCTCCAATCACTCCTCAGAACACTCATCGTCGTCCAAGCATTCATCGTCGAATCACTCGTTGAAGCGGCCTTCGTCCACATCCGCCAAGGACCACTCGCCATCCAAAAAGAAGAAGGAAGGTGATTCCAAGTCTAGTCACCACAGTTCGTCCAAGCGGTCATCAAGCCACAAGCAAGGCAGCAGTAGCAGCAGCTCCTCATCGCAAAAGAAGAAATCCGGCGCGAAAGATTCTGACAAGCAAGAAGCAAAGTCTACTTCCAGTGAGTCGGAGTCCTCGTCTTCGGATGCCTCCTCCTGCCAGGAGAGGGGGTCCGACGGAGGGAAGACATCTGGAAAGAACCCAAAAGAGGAAGCGACCGCCGAGGTGCCCTCGTTTGTGCTAGAGTGGGATCTTGACTCTGAAGAAGAGGAAGATCCCGTGGAGGAGTGCTTGCGCATATTTAACGAGGCCTCCGAGCCCAGTAACACCTCGGGGACGGCAACTCAGGTAAAGGCTACATCAAATTCTACGGCTGTGTGGTGCAGTGCTCACCGAGTGAAAAGTATCAGCAGCTAGCTAATTCACACGCTATCATTTCAGCAGTCTGTAAGCCCATGTGGCATCTATGTAGTCTTAGCTTGTACATTTAACTCTTTGCGACATGAATGTTGATTGTCTGGCTATAATTGTGTCAATATTTCATAACTCGATGCTAAGGTTCTGGAAACGAAATTTAAACTATGCGTAAGTACTGCGATAAATTCCAGTGTATTTTAACGTAATTCATTGAAATTGTAAAAATCTATACCCTGTTTCGGAAGTTTCCTTCAGCACTGTGGAGGCTACAGGGCCTCTCAGCCAATAGGAAGGGTGATTAGCCCTGTGGGGTCTCGAAGTGGAGAGCGCCATGCTCTTGGAGTGGACACAGTAGACACGGTCGGACCGAACCAGGCATCACACATTTATTTAACTACATTTAGATCGACGATATTATCAGCCAAAGTATTATACATCAATTTTCATTAACACGTTAAAACAACCTTATACAAAATTACACAACATTAAAAAAACATAATAAACAGCCAGCTTCATCACCATGGTTAGAATGGTGGCGCCGGCAGTGATGCCTGGCGGCAAGCCTTGGTGGTGGCATGGGTGGCACAGGATAGATGAGCGGGCCTAGCGCCCAACGTGATGATGATGGCGGCGACAAACGCTCGAGAGCACAACACCACTTACCGTTCAGTAGTTGTGAACCCAAAATGCGGCCTATGTGCGAAACACGTACGCCACGAGGTGCACACCACATTACAGGGGGTGCTAGCACTCCCACAGCTTTTCTTATCCGCGCCATGTCATCTACTCATAGTTTTTGCGCATCTGATCGCCAAATAGTCTATAAACGCTCATTGCAAGTTATATGGCTGGTTTATCGACTTGAAAAAATACAGTGAAACTGTGAAACAAGCAACCCCACCAGGAACTTGAAGCGTGGATTTGTTGCTCGGCTGAATGTCAGTAGACGCTCATGCCGGCAGACAACTTCACTTTACGGGTGTTTCTTTCCGACGCTTTACGTGGCTTTCGTATGACTACTTTTATGTCGTCGGGTTTCGATGCAACGCTTCTTTTCTCTCATTCTTTTTTCGGCGAAGGAGGATCCGACGCGCACAAAACGCTGTGCCAAGTTGCTTGTCCGTTGGATACGCATCGCTCTTGGTTTGGGCATCGGCGCGTTATGCTTAGCAGGTGCGGCTAAGCAAGCAGCTTCTCTCGCTAATAGCGATAAAACATGCCTGATGCTTTATTGTCAGAGTAAGACAAAACAAATCGATGGCTGATTTCACCATTCATTTGTTGCTTTCAGCGCAATGGGCGTGTAGCAAGAGCAAGTTCGAATCGAAGCAGGGCGGTCGCTTCTCCATGGGTGCTGCCATGTTAATTTCTTAAAAGTTACCGATGATAACCTAGAAAAATAATTTAATGCATACAAAATAAATGAGAAGAAAAATAAACATACCACATATTGATGTGGCATAATACGCACCAAACAAACACGAATTTTTAGTCAACCCTGTCAATTTTCAGGCACTTACTCTATCTGGGGCTATGTTTTGGTGCGCAAGCGGGTGGCTTTCTTACACCTTGTAGCTTTGGTAGTGCTGAACCACAGTAGTGAAACTGAGTATAGTTATTGTACAGTCAGTTGTCCTGTATTTTTACATAAACTGAATTCAATGAATTACTCGAATTACTTGCCATAGTTTTCTGCCAGCAGTGAGAATTTTTCGTTAGAAGTAAAAAAAATATTTTGAAATTCCCGCTCATGCGCCTCACATCTGGTGTCTTGAAAAACACTGTGCTGTCTTCACCGATGTGGTTGTGCGTAGCGAAGTATTTCTACAAGAGCTGTTATGAAAGAACTTTAGGTAGAATGAATGCTCAGTTTACCACTAGCTGAATGTTTGTGGAGTCTTCCTTGCCGACAGTGCACAAAAGTGGCAAAAGTGATACCTCTGCCACTCTGAGGAGCTTAGTAAGTGCACCTTGCAGCTAGCGCCATTCGAATGCTGTCTCATGGGAGTGCTTTAGTGACAGACGCTGCAAAGCCTCGGTAGCAGTTGCGCGAGAATAAATGAGACATTATCAGAAACTGAGTTTATAGCATTTTAAAACTCTTGTTATTTTTGTTGCTGATATTCTTAAGCATTAAAACATTTGGTACCGCAAAAAACTACTCTGCTATTCTTGCTCTTGGGCAGTTTACAGCCATGAACGCCAGGGGCATGCGCAGCGCATGTCGTGCTATGACTGCAGCCACCGTATTTATGCAAAATGATTATCTGAATGGTTGTTTGTAGCTGTAACTCATTATTACCTAAAAAATGTTACCACAAATAGCAAATATTCATTGTGTTGCTTAAGTGCCCATTGTAATCACCATCATTTCCTGAGTACACTTTCTTTGCTCGTGTAGTAGCTGGCCGCTGAAGGAACATTCTGGGGGTGCAGGTGCACTTAGTCACGATGACACTAAATTTGACAGTGTGGCCGGGGCATAAAGCGCGTTTTCGAAATGGGGGACGGTGCGCTTTAGCACTGGTTGTTAGACCACGGTGTGCATTGCATCGAGTGAACAGATTCTTGGCGAGGTTAGTAAAAAACGTCAAGACGGATGTCTTTGATCTTTTCGGAGAGTTCAGTTCACTCAGGAAAGTCATTCGCCTCGTTTGAGATTTTGAAGGCTGGGATGGTGTTTTGCTCCTGCCGTTCGCAGCCGTTGCCTATTGGTTTGGGTGTTAGTGTACTACGAGATTAAAAGGTCACTGCAAAACATGATATAATTCAGTTAAACCATTTCAAAGCTAGCCCATATTGGGGACGAATGTTTCTTCCATGTGATCGTGGCCTTCACGATCAAAAGAAAACAGGAAAAATGTGCCAGAATCATCGACAACGTTTTTGCTCAATTTGTAGAGCTTTTTTTTGTGAAGAAAACGCTACCATTCTTTCAATTCAATGGCGTTTCTTTATTTCACTAATCATGCTCAAAAAGATGACTCAAAGGTGGTTTCACCGCGTGACAATACAATGAAAAATGCTGCTAAAGTGAAAGCCAATACACAAAATGTCCCAACATGGGCAAGTGTAGCCTTCTAGCGTTAAACACAAGTATGATGAGCATCTTCATGGCTTTCGTGCAGCACCAGTTCCGGGTAATTTTTTTTTTTCAGAAAAATCTCATGACTACTATACTCGTCGACGGTCGTGAAAGGGCTAAACGTGTCATCTAGAAATTTGATTTAGAGTTATGCTAAACACAGACTGAGGGATTGTTGAGGTTCCTCTTTATAAAAGACACTTTGAGAGTCATTACAGCTATGCCAGTTTCTGGTTTTAGGGTTTTGACTATGTGTAAACAGTTTTATGGTTAACCCTTTGCTTGCTGAATAATTTTTGAGGTAACATCTTTGAATTACTACTCTGCTTCCTGCTTCTCTAGGACCAGCTTGTCTAACAAGCACATCAGTGCATTCAGGACAATGTTACTTCTTGCAGAACACAGGAATAAGTTGGTAAAGTACAGAATGTTGCATCCTCTCCATGGCTTTCGGAGGGTGAAAGTGAGTGTCTACGAAAATAGACATAGCCGTGAGAATGGCTAGAACACCACCTATAAATATGAATTCCGGCCTTCAGGCCTCTGAATACATTCGAAATAATTCCTAAAAACCAAGTGCATAACTTTTGTACCCACTACCTTGTATACAAAAAATAAATGTTATGTTCATAAGTTTATGTAGTTTAGCCTAAGGAGCTGCGTTCTGCACAAGCTGCTTGCCGATGTTTACTTTTTTTGTGGGGTTGTATCTCTTACATCCTTGCTTGCTAGAGCTGAATACGTAAGCTCCATTTATCTACACGCCCCAAAAAGGGCCTATTAATTATTGGGTAGCGCACAAATGGAGAACACAAAAAAAGGAAACAGGACGAGCCCAGGAAAATTTGTGTGCTACCCAACAATGCATACGTTCCAACTCACCCGTCTTTCAGTTCTACTACACAAAAATCGCAACATCACTGAGGAGTTTGCTGTTTTGTGATTCGCTCAAGGAGTCATGTCCACAAAGGTGGACACTGGAGGTCTCCTTGATTTGGCTGCACTTGGTGCTTATAGTTCACAAAAGTGTTGTGCAAGTGCCGCGTCAGGTCCTCTAGTGTTAGTGTAGCACGACACCAGTGGTTTCGATGCAGCGGTCAAATTAAGGGAAAAAGTGCAGCCACATCATTCACCTAGCGCTACTTGCCTGAGACGACAACTTGCGTGAAGACTAGTGCTGAAGTGCGATGAACTTGTGCCGCATGACGCCAAATTGAGTGCAGAAGTGCAAGTAGCACGATCTGCACTCGCCAAATCGAGGGCCAAAGTGCAGCACTCTTGAACTAGTGCAGAAAGTGCGGTCAAATCAAGGAGACCTAGGTAGTGAAAAGGTAAAAGCAGCACGAACCAGTCTCCCTTTCAGCTCTACACACAGAGCTTCTTTTTGCAATATTACTGGGGGGTGTCGTGGCACTGTGGCACTATCTGCACTCGAAACAGAGAACTAGACATATGGATTTACTAGGTCGTCTTCAGTGGCAAGAGAAACTAACATTTTGCTATGAACGACTTCAGCCGGTTTATTTTAGTGGGCACGCAAGATGTGTGGACGCATTGTAGCTCTTTGCGATCTATTGCCAGGCCACCCCTGACAATGCAAAACAGCCACAGTGGTTCACTGTTGGGCATCACATGCTGCCGGAGTATCACTGAGAGACTGGGGCACAAAATGCACTGCAAGAATGAACATGGACTGAGTCTTTCTTGCACAGTTGTTGTTTTCATTCGTGGTACTCAAAACTGGCAAAATACGTGTATGCCAGAGCGGCTATCAAGTGGGTGAAAGCTGCAGACCACAAAAGGTCCAAGGGACACTAAAGAAAAATAATGACTTGGTTCAGATTGACAAACTGCACTTTGAGAAATCTAATGCCATAAGTTTCACTATCATAAGTTCATTATTAGCGGAGAAAATCATGGTCGAAGTTTCATTTTTAAATATCGTCCCAAAATCTCAGCGCATGACATAACCAATTGCTGAATGTATTTTTTTGTATTTTCGTGACATTGGCTTGATAAAATTTTCCGAAACTTCATATGCTAGGCCTATGGCACCCACAGGTGACTATGTACATCATTTTTATGGAGTGGAAGCTATGCAGCACTCAGTAGACATCTTCAAATTTACTACGTCACACTGTTTGGAGTGGGAATCTCACAGTGGCGTCCCTACCTGCATTTTCATTTTGAGCATTTTCTTGCTTACCAAGCATCATGTTGCGGTAATTGTGGTGTTTCCGGGATTGGTAAATTTTACTATAATAATACGCGAAACATTGTTGTGCTCTTTAGTGACCCTTCAAGCCTGTCTGAGAAATGTGAAGGGTCAAACAATTCTATTGAAAGAAAGAAGCAGCATAATAGTTATTATTGATGCATCACCGTCAACAGCTTGCCGCCTGAGACTGATTCTTGTGATCTGCATCCGTAACTTTTTAGCCTCAGGAGCGGCTTCACACCAAGCGGGCAGTGGAGTCGACCCTGGAACCTGCCATCCCGACCAAGAAGCGCGTCGCGCACAACCCGGACCTTGCTCGGGTGAGACCACTAATGAGTGAATTGCACAACCGTGTCCGCTGTATTTTCTCAAGTATTACTTGCTTTTGCATTATTGAAGGAAGGGGAATTTTTTCCAGAGGGTGCATTTCTTTGTTAGACACAACCAAAGGAGTGCAATAGGCAGTTATGCATAGGGAACCATGAGCACCATTAATTGTTGCCTTGAAGTCTAGTGTAGTAACAGGGAAGTTGGCTGGTATAAATTAAAGTGGAAAACGGATCGCATTTACGTCGGTTGGATCTGCTCTGACAACCCTCGAATTGCACGTTGTACGCTGGAATTGTGCATCCCAGTCTGGGATTTCAACTCAAGACCTGAGCACTTAAGGTTTGGGTGCTCTATGATGAATTACAGTGAGTGCAGTTGAACCCTCTTTTAAAATGTTCAAGTGTGAAGACAACTCCGTGGTTATCACTTATGATTGCTTTAAACTGATTGCATGAAAAGAAAAAGACAGGGACAGCAGGCAATTGTGAGAAAACTATAACATCGGATGGGAGATGTCAGCAGGCGTTAGTGGCAAGGATGGAGCTGCTGATTTTTTTAAGATGCTTGAAAATTTTGACGCTTTCATGGAACTGCCACAATCTCCATAGAGTCACTGTACGACATTGTCTAGTTTCAATGGCTGAAACGCTTTGATGTCACAACATTTATTCAAATTTCATTACCTAAAGTGCATCAACAGAAGCTACTGCCACTCCTGTGCTTTTCGGACTTCAAAAATCAGCTTTTCCTTAAATGCCATAGTGCTATGCAGTCACAGATACCGTGTCCGAAAGTCTCTTGTACGCTGGTTCCTTATATAGAGCATAGAGTGTAATTGAGGCGTAGAAATTTCAAAGGGTATAATACAAAACAAGTAGCTAACTGAACAATAAAGGTTGCTGAGCTCATAAGTCAGTGCATGCACATTCAATTATTTCAGCCTTTTGAGAGAGATCTTGTGGCTCTATTATATTGATCGATATTGTATACACCATATACTTCAAGCTTCTCATGAGATTTACTCATTTGCGCAGCGCCCATCAGCCCCGCAAGGCCTATTGGCGCACGTGTCGGCTGCGCAAGCCATGCACAATCGTTTTGCCCAGCTGCACCAGCGTTTCCAGGCAGCAGGACAGGTGAGTGACTCCTTGGGCATGATAGGCATTGGTGACTCAGGGACGTTGCGGGACAGGTTTGTTGTAAATGATTGCTCGAGTCGTATTAGTTGGGCTCATAATCAAAACAATAATTGTCATGTGTCTCACAGGTTTTTCTTGCATTATCGCTGTGCACACTGTTTCTCATGGTCGTGAAAGGCATAGGGGCCATGTGCGTAACTTAGCTTTCTTGATTAAAAGTACTGAGGGCACAATATTTGGGAAAGGAATTACTGGCAAGCCCAGTGATTTTTACTCTACTGCGAGAAGCTGCCCTAAGTGTGCCCTTTTTTCTTAGAGTTTACTCTATCAAGATATGCGTAAGGTCTTAAGTTTGATTGCAGATTTATGCACATGTGTTTAACAATGTATACATGACACTGCTTTAAAAATGTTTATGCATTTGCTCATGATGCTCTGTCCTCGCATGCACAAGTTCGCACTTAGTCCGAGATAAAGGTCCAGAAAAGCAGCCTTTAATGTGCCGCATCTTTACCCTTTCATTTCTAATGTCACCAAAGAATTTTATCCTGTCTGCCTAAAGTGGTTCACCTTTTCTCAAAAACCAGGTTGCCAGGGACAAAGATGGCAATAACAATGCTTGTAGTTACACAGCAACACAGCCAGTTTACTATGTGGAGCAATTTTTGGAGCGAGAACAAGTCTGTTTCGGAGAGTGTCAAGAACACCCATTTCTAGTATGCACACTAATGTAAATATTCACCGGCATTTTAAACAAGTGTTGCTCCATATGATTCTAAATTTTGTTTCGTCTGCTTCAAACTTGCTCCAAAACACAGTTTCTTTTGCTCCAAACCTGCTCCGAAACACACTTTTCTCGCTCCAAAAATTGCTTCAAATTGTAAACTCGCGGGACCATTACTCACTGCCTTCACACGTGTCATTTGTATCTATTTCATCATGTTCTTGATACGCCACCGTGTGTGCGCATGAGTAGTTCCTAGAAGGTTTTTGCTTACATGTTGTTTCTTCAATGAAATTTCAGTTGATAATCAATGTTCACCTTTTTCCCCTCCTTTTGTATTCGTTTTACATATGCAGTGTTCGTGCACAAGATGTAGGCACTTGGGCACGAACACTGCATATGTGCACATGGGCACGTGCACATGGGCATACTTTATTTCTTCATTCATGTTCCCTAGGAGCATCATGTTAGGGCACATAAAGTAGGAGAATTTACACAACCACTGTAGGCAGTTTAAACGAAACTTTGGTACCACAAATTGTGAGATAATAGAAAGAATGTAAATTTTTAAACAAAAGGGCACGATGAGCAAAGCAAGAACAATGTTGACTTTTGTATATCTTTATACTATGTATGCCCTTCCTGCAAAAATTCCCATTGGGACTGGCGGCATGTCTGAAATAAATGAACAAATAAAACAGGTGATACAATTAAGTTCTCTGGTAGAGAAACATTTGTTACTGAGAGTGGCAGGATTCAAGATAAGCTAGCAATGCTGGTCATAATAAGCTAGTCGGTGTCACCGCAACGATTTGGGTGGGTAGCTTGTTCTATTCCTTTATTGATAAGGATCAAAGATGAATTTAGTACTTTTTCACCCGGGTTTGCTCCGTAGCATGATGTGATGCTTGAGGTGGTGTTGAAATAATTCATAGGGCATGCAGGTTGAACCTGTAAGGACAGATCAATTGTTTAACAGTAAAAGCTCGTTAATTTAAACTTCCAGTTAATTCAAACTTCCACCGTGGTCATGGGGCAGCCCTGTGTATTTCCATGGGGGAATACTTCGGATAGTTGAAATGAGTCAGTATCCGATGCAAATAATTCATAGAGAGTCCCTCGTTTTTATTGCTCTTTGCAGAAGTCGACCCAGAGAGATAACAATGTGTCGCAAAACCAAACCAAACCAAATTTGCTATACAAACAAAACAGTAAAACAGGGAACTCACTCGCTTGATTTCGTGTCGACCAGTTGTACCCCCACGATCTCCAACGACAGCGCAGCTCTGGCCGACTGGCTCGCCCTACGCCATCTCCTGTTGCTGACAAGAGCTCTCGCTGAGTAATGCCCCGTCCTTGAACACCTGCGACCGTGTCCATCTTTTCTACCTTCTCCTTGCTTTTCGGTGTCGCTGTCCCTGTGCCTCACTCTCTCCTTCTTCTCTCTATATATATCTCTTAATTCTATCCTTTGAATTCCTCCTTACCCTCATCCCTCGTAAGCTACTGTTGAGGTGTCGCACGCTGATGCAGACAGTTACGGGACTCACTTTTATCTTCTTTTCCATTTAAGAATCACATAAGAAAAAAACAGCAGCATTTCTCAGCTGATAATAATTTGGATGCTGCACCGGAACCCTTGTACAAGCTGCAAACTATGCTGGTTGGAGTCACGAATGAAGAAATGCAAGCAAATGCAAATTAATGATTACTTTGATTTTGATTGCATTAACTCTGCCATGTAAATAACTGTTTTGTAAAACAATTAACATCATTTATTTCGCCATGAAGGCTCACTGCTTACATGAATGCTCGTCAGTGCTTGTGTTTGGGTTGTCACTGACTGATCAATTAATTCTGTTCGCTGTTAGAGCTCCATGAATTTAATTTAAGAAATCATCTGCTACAAATTTTTAAGTAGGGGTGTGTTTGCGATAATGAGCCCCGAGGTAGCTTCTTTGGAGTTTGCCCGTGCAGTGTATCGCGGTGTCTGTTTATTCTGACAACCGCTCAATTATTCTAACTCTACTTAAATTGAACAGTTTTTAGCCCCTTTACAGGTCAATCAACGAGCTTTTACTGTGTTAGGGAAAGGAAAAACCGAAGGTCACTGATGGCACAGGGAGAGGAGGAGGGCATTAATCACACGCTTCAAGCCATTAGTAACCATAAAGTGCGCTAATGTGACAAGTGCATGAGGGTGATTGAGTACATTCGTTCGTACCTCTTCCAAACAGGGATATTGGAAAACGGTGCTCCTTCAATGAGAAAATGTTGCACAGGGCAGTGTAAAACAAAAGGAGGTTGCTCCTCTTTAGGGAGCATTGGATTGTTTCATTTAAGGGGAGACGCTCCTCGAAAAAGTTTTTTTTTTATTTCTAGTAATAGAGACTTGAAAAGTTTGTTATTAGTATAGTTTTTCATGCAGATTTCAAATATGCAATAATTTTTTGTGTAGCTGCTATAATATAAACATATAAACAATAGCAAAAAGTCACATTTTTTGCGGGCACTCTTTTATGTACTAAACTTTCAGTAAAAGCACTGTGTCTGATCTTATTTGACTCTTGGTAGATTGAAAAGTGCAAATATCTATATAGATATGTCACAGAAATGTTGGAACCAAGAAAAAAAAAAATTGTATTGAATGACTTATTATTTTCAATCTCCCTCGAAACAATAAGCTAATATTTTCACAACTAATGCTGGTAGGCATTGCAATTTAGAGTAGATATTTGCATTCTGCATGTGCTGAAGAATATGTGTGCCAAGTTTCGTTACTATACAATGAATATAAGTTTCTAAAAGGCTGCCCGGAAAACGTGAAACTGTCAGAAAAAATGAAAATGAGAAAAACAAGTTTGAAAGTTCGCAAAGTTGGCATTTATTAGGAAATCATTCTTTTTGCATCAAATTGGGGCACAATGAAAAGTACCTTGCCTTGAATGCACTGCAAGTGTCTAGAAGTCCCCTGCACCATAGCTTGGTCCTTCACGGCTCTTGCGGTCAGTGTCCTCAACACGAGCTCTCTTCGCTGTGTTGCGACGGTGTGCCCTCGCTTCTGCAGTTTGCTTCAGGTTCATCTTCCTGATGCGCATGACGTCACAGTGGTCACCATGTGTGGCCAGATCTTGTGAGGGGAGAATTCCAATGCCTTCGAGCACTTCTTCAAAGCCCCTGTGGCCTTTGTTGTACCAGAGTACAGCAAGAGCGGTGGCTGTCTCCACAGTTGTTCTGGAGGCGAACTTTGTTTTTGGACATAGCAGCCATATCTTGCTGTTCAGCGATTCGGCTGCATTCTGTGTCTTGCCATGAAGGCACCAAATAAGGAGTTTCTCCTCTGTAAGGCGCTTGTAGATAGGCATAATTGCCAATCCTTGAACCTTCGTCAACAGTGGGGTGTGGCGTGGTGCAGGCTCCCCCAGTGCTTCCGCACGCTTGTGCTTGCACCACGAATTTGGTCCCGCGGGGCAAAAGTTGTGGCTACTGGCACCATCACTGGAGCAGCAATGAAAATATGATGCCCATATGGCAGTGTACATATTTCGGACACTGTCCTTGTTGCTCGTGATGGCGATCTTGTAATATGTTTGTAGTTTTATTATTGTCGCATCTTTCAGTTTTTCGCCTCGTGGCAGTGGCGTTGCCAATTTCCGTAGGGCAGTTCCCAAGCGCTTTGCAACGTGGTTCGTGCACTCTTCTTTGTCAATGGGGGTGTCACAGTATACATTTGCCTCGCAGACTGCAGTGTAGGCCTTGCTGTCACCATCACTTAGGAAGCTGGTGAATCGCAGTGGAGTTTCATAAGACAAGGTCCTCTGCCATATATTGACAGCTGCCGCAGGTTCCATTGCATGGGATGAGCAGTCAGTGTTTTTTTGGCAAACTGGAAGATGAAAAGCTCGCCATATCTCTTCATCCTCCCCAAGGTCCCTGTGTATACTGCAAGCATGGCAGTAGTTCGAAAGAACTTCAAAATCGAGGCAGAGCCCCGTGTCCAGGGACACGACTGTGCCCACTCCATTGTGGCTTTTATGACCTCTTTTCTGCCAGGTGCCATCAAACATGACTGGCACATCTCTGCCGCCGACTGCGTCCTTCGTGATGTTTCGTGCCTGGTGCAAGTTTTTGCTCACTGCCGTCATCGCCGCACCATGGAGCTTCTTGCAAATGCCGTTGAATGTCTTGTGATGCATCGGGCTCGGAAGACCGAGAATCGCACAAAATCGTGAAAGTTGGTCGTGGCCTGCGCCTATAGCGCGTGCTGCCAAAACTGCCTTCACGTTTACAGCAAAGCTGTCACGCGAGCTGCCGCTGTCAAAACGAGCGCTCGTTCCTTGGTCCCCTGCCGAAGCAGTACGTCTCGACGTGTGCGTGAACGAAAGTGCAGATTCAGGGCAATCAGAATTTTGACAGCACAGTTCGAGGAATGCTGAAGGTCCTTTGCGCTTTCCAGCTGCCTCTCGCACGCCGAGCTTCCGTTCGCGGCAGGTTGGGCATTGCGCACCCGCCACAAGTGCCGTCAGCGCATCGATTTCGCAAAGCAGCATGTTCGCAGTAGCAGCATCTACCGGTCTACGTTCACTCTCGAAGAATCCAATCTTCCTTTGGGATGCACTGACGAATTCCACGGCAGCGGCTATTTCACAACCACTGTCGCAGGGTTCGGTGACGGTGTTAGGCCTATCCGAAGCTGGAGCGTCGGGGCGTTGGTCGGGGGCGACATCGTCGTTCGCTGTCGCTTTGCGAAGCGTCCAACGCCGTTTCCCTCGATACTTGTGGCGAGTTCTGAACTTTCGATTATCTGAACTGCACTTCTTCGGGCCTGCCATGACGCAAAAATGCAGAGAAACGCAGAAAAACTCGATCGCGACGTCCGAGGCTTCGCTCTTTTGCCGGAGAGATAGGAGGGGGAGGAGCGTGGAGCGCACCGCCGTCCAATGGCGGCCTCGCGCTGTGTGCCGCGATATTCAAAACGCGTGACGTACGCGTTGTTTTTCTCGTTTTTTGTTTATTCTGCGTGAAGGCACGAGACTGGCTACTAGTGGATTATGAAGGATACGGCCTTCGCAGCATGCGTGCACGATTGCAAATGGCGGCCAACGCGTCGTTTTCGCGACAGGACGACGCGAACTTCGCCGTTTTTCGCGACTTTCGCGCATTTCTCGCGTCACCACTGCCCACTTGGAAGCATTTTTTGATAATTTCTCGTGCGAATTTCAGCTTGATATTTTCAGAAGTAATAGATTATAGTCCAAGGATGCCAATACAGTCGGAAAAAAAAAGCGAAAATTTTCCGGAAAACCGTGACTTTTCGACCCGCGTCTCCCCTTAAAGTGGGCCTTCGGCGTCTTAGGTGTTAGTTGTAATAATTCCAGCATTCAGTGATAAATGGCTGCTTGTTCAGTGGTGTGCTCTGTCAGTATGTTCTGTATAATCAATGCCTGTGTTTCAGGGCCGAGTGGCACCGGTGGCGAATGCGCCGCTGCTGGCGGCGGCGCGCCGCTCTGCTTTAGCCCAGCTGCCTCAGGGGACGCGCACTGCAGCTCACGTGGTGGCCTCCCAGCCCAAGGGACAGCCCAGGGTGGCCCACGTCCCAGCCCTGGTGAGTGCGTCTTTTCTCGGTTCCACACTCGTACTCACTCTTCGAGGGCACTTGCGCTACTGCCCAAAAGAGAAAAAGCCCGGCACCACATTTTAAGTTTACTCGTATCTAAAGCAGTTCTGATGCATCTACTGCTCTGTCTTTGCTCAGAAAAGACAGAGCAGACAAAGACAGACCTTGACACTGTCTCAACCTGGTGCAATAAATGGCTTATGACTCTCAACTCTAACAAATCTAAATGCATGTCAATAACCCGGCGATCTATTTCTCCCCCCTGTACCTACAGAATTAACGCCGTTCCCCTCCAGCATGTCTCTTCATATAAGTACCTCGGCGTTTACATTACCAACAATCTATCTTGGCACACGCATGTTACCTACATCTGTAATAACGCTAACCGAACGCTAGGATATTTACGCCGCAACTTTTCTCGCGCTCCGCTGTCCCTCAAAATTCTATTATACCGATCACTAATTCGCCCAAAGCTTGAGTACGCGTCCGCTATATGGGATCCCGTGCAGCAAAATTTAATTAACGCGTTAGAATCTGTTCAGAACCGCTCAGTTCGGTTCATTTGTTCTAATTATTCCCGTACTGCTAGCATATCAGAAATGAAATCTACCCTTGACCTACCCAATTTAACTGTCCGGAGGAAACTGGCGCGACTGCATTTTTTTCATAAGATATTTTTTCACAATCCATCAATGAAGCGAGACCTCATTTCACAACCGTCATACCACTCATCGCGCATTGATCATCAGCATAAGGTTGCCATTCCGTTTTGCCGCACCAAATTCTTTTCAGCAGCCTTCTTACCGAAAACAGCCGCCGATTGGAACCACCTTCCCTCTTCCGTTGTATCAATAACAGACCCTTTGTTATTCAAGACTGCCATTTCTCAGCAATGCTTGTAACTATACGCAGTTTCCAATATCTATCTTTGTCTTGTATGTGCTTGAATTCTTATACATTTTTAGTTGACTTATGTTGCCTTCCTGATTTGCGCATCTGATACTTGTTTCTTTATTTTGTCTTTTTTTCTTGTGTGTTATATATGTTGTACCCACCCCCTCTGTAATGCCCTACGGGCCCTGAGGGTATTCTAATAAATAAATAAATAAAAGGGATGTCCCTTTTTATTTCTCTCTTACTGTGCAACATTGATCCTCCGTTTGCCATGCCAACCTTTCCTTCTCCTAAGCCCCTTCTTTCTTTTCTTCTCCATCTTTTCATGCAACTTAGACACTTGTTCGCTACTTATGCAGCAGTGTGGAAGCTCTCATTAACGTGCTGCAAGAATTATGTGGGTCAAAATAGACAGTGCATTTAGGGTGTCATGAGCAAAAGGGCGCGAGTCACGTGCTGGGCGCTGGAATGCGGCGTCAGTGCGCGAGACCCGTGATGGTGCACATACATGCCACATTCATGTACGAGTTTGTACAAGAAGGCTCGTGGCACGTGACCTGAGTCGTAATGAAAATTCACGAAAAACCTGCTGGCACTGTGCATTGGGGCTTTGAACTGGAAAGATCAGGAAGGTCAGCGTTGCTACAGTGAGGGAAGCAGTAGTGCCGCCTGGTTCTGAAAGCTGTCGGCGAAGAGACCCAGGAAGTGGCTGTCGATCTCGTAAGACTCAAGTGAGGCTGCCCGGACTTGCCGCAACCTTTGACCACAGTTCCTGGTGGGCATACAGCTCTTCCACTTCGAACCAGAGCAGATGTGGCCCACACCACAGTCGCAACGCCATTGATGAGTTAGGCGTAGTCTAACTGAGCTGGAGAAGATGTCAAAGACCGGAACCAACCGGCAATGAGATCAAGCGGCTTGTTCGGCAGAAAAGGACCACGACTGTAGAAACTCACGGAGAGCGTCGGCGGCGAGTTCGACTAAGTGTCGATGCAGCAAAGGGCACGGAGTCGATGTGGCAACACGGACGAATTGCAAGAACGTTCGAGGGTTGGGACGCCATATTGGCTTAGTACTAGCGGCTAGGGCTAGAGACGATTTAGACTTGGCTACAGCCAGTTTAGTTTCACTATGCACAAGCTGTTATTGGATTAATTTTGTGTGTTCGCAAGTGTTTGTTTTCGCTTTCGATTTTTTTTACTTCGCTCTCAGATTTTTTGGTGTGATAAAGGGTGTTTGTTTGCCACACCCATCTCCAGTTCCTCTGAACCCAGTCCATCGCAAGCGCTCCCGAAATAATCGTGACAAAAGGGAGACACTGCTCTTAAAAGTATTTATTTATTTCTTGTTCGATTTTGACGATACTTTGTGACTTCATGTATACCGTATTTACTCGCTTAATAGGCGCACTTTTTTTTCAGAAAATCCGGCTCGAAGTTAGGGGTGCGCCAATTACGCGGGGTAAAAGTTTCAAAATTTTTTCAACTCGGTTCTCGCGCTTTAAATCTGCACACTTGTCAAGTAAAAGGCGACTTTTATCGTTTACCAATTAATTCAGCATAAAACAAACATACCTACGTACCTTTTAATGAACAAGTGAGAGCCGTCAACTGCACACACACACGTAAAATTTATTTACACAAAAGTCGTAGCTGTTTCTCCTTTTTCCTATTCGGAGTCCGAGTCGGAGATCACACATTCATCCTCACCGAGCGGGGATTCGTTTTCGCTGTCCGAATCATCCGCACCCCACAACATGTCATCCTCACTCGCATCCAGTGCGTTCGAGATACCCGTCTTCTTGAAGCTTTCCCTGACGACTTCGTCGGAGATCGCCTGCCACGCTTTCACGATCCAAGCGCACAGCATTTCCACAGGCGGCCTCTTAATATTACCAGCTGTAGTCAGCTGATGTTGTCCTCCAGCCATCCAGGTGGTGTACAGCCTTCGAACATTGTCCTTGAAAGGTTTATTCAAGGACACGTCCAAAGGCTGCAGTATCGATGTGAGGCCGCCCGGAATCACTGCCAGATCTGTGCGCAGCTCCTTTAGCTCATCTCGTACGCGGCCTACTAGGTGCCCACGAAAACTGTCCAGGACAAGCATGGACGGCAACAACAGACCACCCGGCCGCCGACCCCAGACTGTTTTCACCCAATCCACCATGAGTTCCGCGCTCATCCAGCCTTTCTCCTGGACTCTGACGTAGATGCCTTGAGGGAATTTTGCCTTTGGGAGCGTCTTACGTTTAAAAATAACGTAAGGCGGTAGCTTATGCCCATCCGCTGTCACCGCCAGCATTACGGTGCATCGTTGTTTATCAGCGCCAGACGTTCTGACGATGATGCTCCGTGCACCTTTCTCTTCCACTGTCGTGTTCCACGGCATATCAAAGCAAAGGGGGGTCTGATCCGCGTTGCCGATCTGGGACAAAATGAAGTCTTTCTGCTGTCGGAGCTTTATAACAAAACTGTGGAAGTCCACCACTTTGTCCTCATATGCTGCGGGCAAGCGCTGGCACAAGGTGGTCCGCCTTCGCAGTGCAAAGCCGAGTTGTCCATCCGGAGCTGGCTTTGAACTCTTTCGCTTCGATGCCCTGCGCTCGGGCTATTCTGCACGCCTCAGTCTGCACAATATCCAACGACACAGCACAGCCGTCTTGTCGTAGCTCCCGTATATGCCGGACCAGTTGCTCTTTGACGTTCGGATACCTGCCGGTCTTGGCACCGCGGAAAGCCCGTCGTGTCTTCTTCGTCGCCTTAAGTTTTTCTTCTTGGTCCCTCCAGTACCGAATACTGGTTTCTCCAACGCCGAAATGCCTGCTTGCAGCCCGGTTGCCGTGCTCCAGCGCGTACTGCACTGCCTTCAGTTTAAACCCAGCCGTGTAGCTCGCGTACTTCCCCATGGTGGAACCAAATTTCAATACACGACCACAACATACGCACACCGCTTGCAAAATGGCGTTTCTTTCTTTTTCTCTGATGGTGGTGATGGCGATCGAACCCCCGGCGTTGTACACGTGACCTCCAAAAAGCGCGGCAATTTGAGGGGTATCAGTAATTGATGAAACAGCCGTTTTTTTTTTTGCTCATGGACGCTTTCTTTTTTTCAAGTCCTATTTCGACAAACACGTTGGTTAGGTCGTTGCACTTCGAATTTTTTTTATTTGCTCGTCGATTTGCCTTCTTTTTTTCTTCAGGGTACGGGGACCGCGTTCCAACTGTACCGCTGGGGGGTAGAATCGTTTCTGATCACGGCCAAGTTCGGGGTGCGCCTATTATGCGCGGAATTTAAAAAAATCGAATTTTCCGCAACCAAACTAGAGGTGCGCCTATTATGCGAGTGCGCTGATTATGCGAGTAAATACGGTATTTGTGTGTGGATTTCAAGTGGGCAATTATTTTTGTAGTACTGCATAGTTTGCTTCTTATGCAAGTCACCGGAGTGGTGAATATCTGCACCAGTAGGGGTGCCACACTGTAACCAAACATCTTCGAAAGGCTGCGTGTGCGCAAGACATGCAAGAGACAGCTGTGCGGTTCTGACTGTTAGGGCATGCGACTGGAATGTACGTTTGTATCCACTTAAATTAAAAATGTTGAACAGTTAGCGTTCGCAGACCTGCATTGTCCACAGAAGGGACGCGGGGAAAAAATAAATAAAATAAAAATAAAAAGTGTGCTGTAACGGAAAGATGTTTAATAACTTTTCAGACCTTCTCGTTTATGTCAAATGGCAATTGATATTTTGCAGGTGTATGGGCGATGTCCAAAACATTATTGACCGTGAACTGCCACAAGAGTGTTAGACACCGGCCCTCATTTTTGTCAAAGGTGTAAGCCACTTGTTCTAAATGTAACAAGTGCAAAATGTGTGGACTCAGCATCAAACCGCACCTTTGGTATTTGGCGGCCACTACTGACAAGGCAGCTTAGCATTTGTTAGGCCTAGGTTTGGGTTGCAGTGTCGTAAGCAAGCTGTTATGAGACACTTGCTAAAGAAACACGGAGATCAGACGTAGAAGAGATTCGCACTCACAAGTTAAACCGAGGCCAGCACGCGGGAAACGAAGTTTTGTTTGCAGTCGGGAGAACAGCCGCTGCAACTGTTCTGAAAAAGGTCTTCCTAGTTTGTCAGCCCGACTGTTGGTGGTCAAAGGCCAAAGCTTGATCACGTTTCAAAGCATTGTCATGAGTGCGGGAATCGAACTGGCATGCACGAAATCTGCACTCTACGATGATGCAGCTATTTTCCCGACTGTTAATCGAACAGAAAAATAGCAGTGGATACGGACGATCGCTTATGGCTAGGCGTGCATGAAAAGTGGCCAAAGCAAGAGCGGCGAAGGAGGCAAAGGCTTCCCTGTCACCTATGCAACTACTCCCCCTCTTTGCACCCCGCACCTGTGTAGAACTGCTGCACACCCACCCCCATCATCACCCCCTCTTCTTTCTTCTCTGCCCCCTCGCATCTCATTCTACATCCCCTCCCCTGTAATGCTGTTGTTGCTTCCTGCTCAGCTGGCACACGTGCGCTGAGAAGAACGCTCGCTTCTTTGAGGATGTTCTGGCAGCCACATAATAACCGGTCTTTTATCTTGGGGGACTGCACAGTAAGCGGTATGCGTACACTCTCAAACCTCATTAAACAAAGTTGCGTCTTAGAAGAAAATTAATTTCATTAAATCTGAAAATTTGTTATAAAGATTATTTATTAGAATGTATCTGTTGCAAGACTTTTTCTTATTTACTTTGTTATACCTGATATTTTGTTATATCCACATTTGTTATATTCAGGTATGAGTGTACATGGAGGCCTGTGGGAGGGTAAATGGGGGTAAGAAAAAACTGCATTATAGCAGGTCCTACACTGTAATCAGTTATGGTCTGAATGGTCTACACTGTATAATGCATGGTTTTTTAAATGAGAAATATCTCATGTGCCTTATGGGGAGCAAGACTCATCAAAACTGAGTGCATTACAAAGCAAATCAGCATATCAAAATTTATTATCTGCTATCAGGACTGTGTACTGTGTAATATTTTCTATTTTAACAGCTACACCTTATACTACAAAAATGTCTGCATATTTAAAATTACCGTACTATTATACATAGACTCAAGGCGTGTCATGAAAATAGATCAAGAAATTAAACAAGTTTTTTCAAGAGCAAATCCGTGTCACAAGACAACTTTGCGGAAACACTTGTAGCAAATGATATGGGGTACTGTGGCTCCTGTCACTATATTTTCTAGCACTTGGAAGTGTTTGGACTAATCGTTCAACAGTAAGGGTTACACAGATGAAATGTCACTTTGATGTTAAGATAACTGTCTACTTGGATTGCGCAGGTCCTGTCCAAGCGTCCCACCATCCCGGCCGAGTATGGCAGCCGAGTTCCGACGGCTGTGCGCCAGCGCTACCTCAACCTTTTCCTGGACGAGTGTGCCAAGTGCTGCAGCACCGAAGACGAAGCCATCCAAAAGGTTTGCCATCTCCTGTGCCATTTTCACATATGCTTTTTCATTGTGCATTGCAATCGAACTGTGTCTATAGCGACATTGCATCACGTTTTATTCACTGTAAAGGAAGGCGCGAATACTGTTCGATAAAACGTGAGCCATCTGTGTGCATTACTGTGAAGCACTGTCGTTAAGCCACCTTCCTCACTGAAATTCACATGAAACCTGCACCCTGACCTTAGCTTCAAGTTTTCCGTATTCTTTCAGTTGGCACTGCATGAGAAAATATGGTAGTTTGCTTTTCTGTACTTTTCTTTCTCTGCCATAAATGTGGGGCAAAGAAGAGTGGGCCACTCGTGGGACATACAGATACACTACACATCATCGGGTAATGAAGACATACATTTATTAGTTCCTTTTACGCCCTGGTGCGCCCATTGGCCGAGTCTTACAAATCAAATAACTACAGTAACATGACAAATAATGTCCTTGTATGCAGATATAACACTCACAAAAACATAACTCACCCAATGTACCACAAATGCAGCATTGCCGGCATTCGACTCACTGCAGGGGTGTGTTGGACCGAGCCATGGAATCGTTTGATGGAACTCCTGCTAGTTGTCAGCTAGCTCGCGAAGACCCCAATGAGGATGAGCTGCATTCATCATGACCCTGTGTAACCTCTCTCCCACTGCAGCACCACTGGTGCCATCGCACAAGCGTAGTTTCATTTCTTGCATGATGGCAACTGGGCTAGCTGTTCCACCTACGCTATTGCGCACATGGGCGCCATGAGGGTAAAACAACCCCCTAGACCATGTGCACTGAAAGTGCTCTCGCCAAAAGTAGTCGAGCCCGTTGACCTGGCTGCATTTTCCGCCATCACTGGAGCTTAGCTGCTGACCTGAAAGTTGCTGGTTCAGTGCCGAGTGTGGTGGTTGCATTTCAATGGAGGTGAAATGCAAAAGGCCTGTATTCCAGGACATCAGTGCACGCTAAGGAACATTAGAACGACGAGATTTCTGGAGCCCTCTTCTACGATGTCCCTCATAATCGTGTTGTGGGATGTGAAGCCCCAGATATTATTATTTCTGTGATACCGTGCTGCATGTACATGTAACGCGTGGTTCCTATTGCAGGCGTTGTCCGAGGAGAAGCAGACCTACGAGCGGAGCTCAGGCAAGACCGTCTACCTGAATGTGGCCGTGAACACGCTCAAGCGACTGCGCCGAGAGTCGGCCCAAGACGGGGGCGCGTCCTCTGCTGGCTCTAGCTCCTCTGGTGCTGGCACCTCTGCTCCCGCGGCAGCGCCCGTCCAGCCCACCAACCGGGTGGTCTCGCACGAGATGGTGCTGCAGGGTGCCCGCGCGGCACGCACAAGCTTCAGCATCGAGAAGAACCGCTATCGCAAACCACCTCCGGAACTGACGGGTGAGCAGGCCACTTCGCATAGCCTCCCCTATGAAGTCGTCTTTTGGAGTAACAGTGTACCCAGTGGCTTCTAACATGTTGCAGCAGACTCCCAGTAAAGGGAAATTTTTAAGTGGGACTGCTGCCTAAATGGAGCAACTGCCTCTGATATGATTGGTTTCGTATATGTGCCGCCACCCCCCCCCCCCACCTTCCTCATTTAAAAAAAAAAATTTAAAAAAAGTATTTTTTAAATGTATCTGTTCATTTTATTTCGGTGTGACAACCAGTGCTGTTGATGATCGAAACAACAATAAATCAAGCCATTATATCACAAAATAATGATGCACTAAAAGTCAAAGCATACTTTTGCAACCATGCTAAATGCTCGTGAGCATTGTGAATGCGAACTACATCAATCAAAGTTTAAAAGTCGCGTCTTTCACGGCAAAGTGCTATCTGTCGAATGCAGGAGAAATCTTACAGCGCCAATCAAGCACAGCGGCCTGAGAACAGTGCAACAAAATAAATGCATGGCCTACGAGATGACGGGCACGCAACGTAAAAACTCGCCACGTGCCCGTCAACTCGGAGGCCATGCAAAGTGCTCATCGCCCCGACAGCACGTAGCCTGCGACGTTTGTGCGCCAGCATCCGGCACTGCATTTTTGTTGTCGGGTTTGTCGTAGTGAGCTTAGTTGAGGACACCTGCTGCGCATGGCGCGTATGGCCGGTATGCTAGCTACACAGCTGGTTTTAAACTTACCGGTCACTTCGTCATTTTTTTTAAAAGCCGGCACGCTGTGTTACCCGTAGAGTCATGCTATAACATATCCCATCGCGAGCAGACAAAACGCGTGGTCAGCTTTCATGGAAGTTGGTCGAACAAGCACTGGAGCATGGGAACTGAGCAGCTGGACGACACTTTGGCATCGATCCAGGCACGTTCTTTATGAAAGAAAGCGAGAGCTTCGGGCTACAAAAGGATTCGTCACGCATTTTGCAGCCCAAGATGAGCAAAGTAGTCCTGCAAAATTTTTGCTGTTATAACTCCTGTGACTTTTTTCTCCCGCATGATGAACCATACGCCAAAATCGGCGACAACACTTCTGAAAAAATTAAAAAAATAAAAAATAAAAGTGGGTTTGTTACACAAGTAAATATGGTACTTTGGACCCTTCGTCTCTCAAAAAATGCAACTTTTTGATAACTGGAACATATTTTTTTGTCCCTTCAAGTTTCACTTAATGAGAGTCTACTGTGATTTGAACATTCCTAATATTTGGGCCTGTTTATGATTACTATGCTGAAGCTAAAATTTTCTGACATTTTAAGTTTTTTTTTACTAAATAGCAGCATAAAACTGATTCCAAAAGGTGACAAGTTGTTTTTCAACTGGCTTTCTTGAGCCAGTTTTTATGGAACAGCCTAATATTTCGGTCATGCACCTCCTCCAGTCTCTGCAGTAGAGAAACAACACCATGCAATCGTTACACCTGAAAGGTGGAGTACTATTAATTAAATGCTTCATCAACAAACACTGGTAGTTCCCTCCGCCTGTGCTGCGGGTAACCGAAGCGTCAGATGCAGCTTATCATTCCTTTTTGTGCATCATCTTCTTGCAAGTAAGTCCGAAATTTCAGTGTGTTGTGTTTTGGAGCAATTGCTGTTTCTTGCCATTTTTTTTTTCGTATTTTTTTATTTCCATAGCATTTTTAGGTTGGCAACTCTGCGTAAAGTTGACTAATGGACGCTTTGCAACCAAAGTGACTTTTCGGTGATGCTACTAACAGGCACTTCAGTGGATACTTCGCTGACACTAATAAAGGCACTTTGACAATGTACTAAGTTTAACGTCGGCAAAGCTACTAAGGGCACTTAAGGGATGCTACAAAATGGGATTTCGCTGACACCTCTTAATGGCACTTAGTTGATGATGTCAAAGGACATTTCGGTGATGATACTGAAGAGCTTTTTGGTTAAGTTACCAGAGGGTACTTTGGCGATGCTACTCAAGGAATTTCTGTGTAGCTTCTAAAGAGCTTTTTGGTTAGGTCACTCGAGCACTTTGGGGACAGTATTTCAAGGCACTTTCGCGATGCTAGTGAGGGCACTACGCTGATGTAGCTACAGATGGCTACATGCACTCGGGGGTTGAATGCAGAGAAACGTTTCTACGAGCTGTTGGAGGTGTACCGGATGACCCCAGAGCAGCTTGCGGAGTACAACTACCCGCGACCGCATCCAGCGGAGCCAGGGCGTGCAGTGTTCGCCGGAACTGATGGCCGTCAGTACTCAAAATCAAATGGTGAGTTGGCAACTGTGGCTGCATGCACCCTTCTCTCTTTGCTCATGCTGTTCAGAGTGATTTTCAGCTACATCTTGTTCACTATCGTTCTGAGAAGTTCAGTATGATAATAAATGTTGCTCTATGGCAGAGCAAGCCTTGTGTTTGGTTGCACATACTAGGTGAGCGCTGATTATAGGCCATAGATCTATATTTTAGCATGTAAATATTACTGAGTCAAATGGGTTCAGCTATGTTCAGCTGAAAAAAAAAAAAGAAAAGCGAATTGTTACCATTACAGTTAAACCTGCTTATAACGAACCTCCATATAACGAATTCCTCGATATAACTAAGTTTTTCAATTTTCTGCTGTCGCTTCATAGAAGCACATGTATTTGCATCTTCTATGTAACAAAATATTAGTGGGAGACATCTTAGATATAACGAATTTTCTCCACGGACAATCGAGGAATTTCGCTCCGCATTTTGGCACTTTGGTACGAGCATGCACTTTCCGTAACTGCCCTGCCGCCAACAAAACACGAAGTGGCAGCGGCGGGCACCCGGGCTGCGTCCGGCAGGTAGACTGGCCTGCGCCCCACGAGCCAGCTTTGTCGCTGTTTTTGCCGCCACGCTCTCATGCGCGGGTGTGCCCCCCCTCCCCCACTTCTAACCAACACAAAAAAAAAAACTACTTTTGCTCGTTGGCAGTGCCACGCTTTTAGTTCGTCACATATATGGGGCCACACTGCATATGGAGGGCACTTTACCGGTTAGTTTTCCACGGTATCCGTGTCTGTGTCTCAGCTTTGCTTTTTTTTTTGTTGCCATAGCAATTATGTATATGGACAGTCTCGGCTGGTATTTTGCCTCCACCGCCGTCATTCACGTATCTATATTTATGAAAACTCAAGAAAGGGGAAAAAAAAAAAAAAGCCGCCCGAGCTTGGCGCCCAGATTGTCACAATACGCCAACGTGTGCTTATCTCTCACGTGTACTTTCCCTGCGAATAGGGGGCGGTTAGATGCTTGTGCGTGCGCACTTATCCTTTGGTGGGGAGAATCACATGCCTTCGACTTTGACCGGGGAACGATTGAGTTTAGTTGCCGGACGCACAAGGATCACTTCGCTCGCTGGACAGGCGCCGTTTGCGAAAAGAGTCCGCTTTTTAAACACACTGAAGTAATAACTGGGGCACTTGTTAGTTCGCACTCATATCTGTACCTGTGATTTCGTTTCGTGCCTCGTTTTTGTTTAAACAGCACGTTAAGTGTCGAGCAATAAATGTTGTTAGTTTCATCTCATCCTGTGTATGTTCTTTTCTTGCATCATTTGTGCGTGAGCAGCGCGCTGTCTGTTTCGATCTACTTGCTGTTCTCAGCGCTACATTCCAAGAATTGTTGTTATTGCAATCATTCATTCGCCCTTGCGGTGAAACTCTGACACTTCTTTAAAATTTTCGACAATCGTGTCTTCATCATGTAGGTGACGTCAGATTAGGCGCTGATGGAAACTCTCCGAGACCAGGGTGATGACGGATCTTCGGAGGTCGACTCGTAACGCGCTTTCGTTTTACGCCGCACCGCGAGTTTGCAGGCTGGTAGCTTTCACGATTAGTCGATTAATTCTGACAACATGACGGTGCGTTGAACGCATTGCAGTGAATGCGATAGTGAAAAATTGTAATGTTATAAGAAGTAAGGCTTGCAGCCGACTTAATTCTTTTGGATCCGATATCGCGGAACTCCTACGAAACGCTAGTGTGAGCAAATACGGCCGCTCTTAGGAGAAGCGCTCTTTTCACACAGACCCTTCGCGTTGAAACAGCACTGATACTCGCCGAGATAGCAAGCGCTCTAGCGATCAAGAATGCCCTTGAAATCATTCATTATTGCTGCTCGAGCGATTCCTCTTTCCCCCCTCCCCAGGTTGTTTCATGCTCGTTCAAGACGGGTGGTTTACTTTCTGTATGAATATTCAACTGCAGTTATAACACGCGGGAGATGTTATGCGCTTTCCAGGTAATAGGGATGGGCCGACTCAGTTTATCTCTGCTTCAGCAGTGCTCTCGCGCTTTTACCCGCTCGTGAAAGTTAAGATGCGCGGGGCATGTTATCAATTTGCACTTGTTACGGAACATGGCAGAGGCGGCAAAAACCCGCCGATAGAATCCATATAATGGCTATCACGATAACAATGAAGTTTCTTACTGTAAAATAAGTGTTTTGGGTTAGCTCTGCCTTCAGCCCCTTTTTTGTTTAATTTGCGCTTTTATTTTCTCAATTTTCGTACAGAACCTGCATATAATGAAATCCTATCTATAACGAATTTTTCTGGGAATTTATCAATTTATTTATACCCAGGTTTAACTGTACATGCCGAATACTATTCTGAAGATGGCCAACTAAATATTCCCTTGAAGCTCCATTCTTGTCCTTAAGAATGCCCACTTTCCGTATCAGGAATCGTACTTGCATAATCCTTTTGGGTTGTATCTGCTCTCATTTAGAATGTAAATTCTTACAGGGGGGCTCACTCTATTGGCAGTATGTGAAATTAGGCGCTTGAATGATTTTTTACGACAGTGTGATCATATGCTATTGGTGTGAACTCTGGAGGGGCCAAGGGACCCTCTCATAATTTGAGGGGCAGGGGAGCTAATATTTGACATTAATTTTATTTAGGCGGAAGCCATGTCCTGTCTTTTCTGTTCTTTAGTTCATGTTTGTTAACTCAGTTAAAGGGGGACGCGCCCTTTGAAAACCGAAAAATCGCGAAAAAGTCGATTTTTTGAAAACCACATACTCGGGCAGTATGACTCATAAACTGCCTCTACTGTAAATATCGATGTCTAATTCATCGCGAAAGTACGTCAAATAAATTTTATAACATGCCGCGGCAGCCGGCAAGCGGTGAGCGAGCGCCAAAAATACCCCAACTTCGCGCGCTCGCCATTTCCCAACCGCTCGGCCGATCGCCACCATCTTGATGTTGTTTTGCTCGTGAATTCTTGTGCTTTTTTTTTTCGCCACCCGCGGCAGTGGCGGTGGCGCTCCGAGGCGGGAGTCGCTCACGATTGGGGGGCTCGCGGAAGCTTTCGAATGTCCCGCTGCCTGGATGCGAAGCCGCGATTGGACAAAGCGCCCGCCTCTCGAGGGAGTGGGGGAACGCGCGGCTCGTATTGGCTGCTGCGCGCGATGACGTAGCTGCTTCTCCGGCATGCGCCGGCTCGTCGTCTGCACCGGCGCTTGCAATGCCGGCGTTCTTTGTGTGCCCCGTTTGCCATCATTCCGATCGGTCGTCACACGTGCTCCTCTATCTTTCACCGTCTTCACGAGACGATCTTCTACCGTCCTCACGAGACGATCTTCCGCCGTGTTCACGGGACGTGGATTGTTGCGCTGACGGTCACGATGGGCATTTCGAAGTTCAAGACTCGGCACGCGTTCGGTTCAAGAAAGCGTCAGCTGAAGCTCGTACGCATGGCGAAGCTCACCTGCACGCCCACGCGCGGCGACAGTTGCACCGATGCTTCCGCTTCATCTTTTCAAGACGATTGCGTCGACGCTTCTAGCGACGAGACTTCTACACCATCGGCACAAGGATCCGTCGTGACGAGTGAGGCTGGTGTTTCGTGCTCAAGTGCGCCTGGTGTGTCGCGCTCGCCAACCCCATTGATTCCGGCCCCGAACAGTGAGACCGCGTCGTTGACTGTGCACTTCCAAACACGTTTTCGGACGTGCGAGGAGTTGGCGACGGCGGAGAGAGAACGTGTTGCTGTGCAACGAAAGCTTGGCGCTATGCCAGCGACCGAGAGGAAGTTTCAAGCGATGATGCCTGAACCCGAAGCTGCCACCGCTACGACCGAAGGCGAGAGATATTTCCTCGTGCAAGGGGATGCCCTTAGCGACATGCTGTCCAAGACCCCGTGCCCGCGCTGCCTCACGACCGGGATGAAAGTTCAAGGAGGCACCCAGCTTGGACTTGCCACGAAGCTTGAGCTGGTATGTCCACATTGTGGAATAGTTTCAAGTTCGTGGAGCTCTGCTCGTCAGAACGAGTCAAGGACCTTCGACGTGAATATAAGAGCCATTACGGCCATGCCAGCGGCAAAGAAAAAGAGAGCCTAAGGACACATCTAGCTACTCTGCAGGGTCATTTTAGACCATAATAAATGTTTGAAACTTTCGAAGTCAATTTTCTCAATGACTTTTTTGGCCAGTGAGGCTGCTTAGTCAGGTGATCTCTCTGGAACTGCTGGTCTGATTTCTATCAGGTTTTTTTTATTATGCACCTTAATAAATTGCCCAGGACAAGACAAGCCCGCTTTTTCAATTTATTGTGTCTGTAATTTGTAATAATTAACAAAACTTCATTGATGAGAGCCAAATTGTGAACACTAAATTCAGTGCTCTGCTAACATTTTTTGGCAAGGAAATTTAAAAAAAGGGCTCTGTCTTGCCCTAAAGCACCTATCCAGGAATCATCATAGTGAATTTCACAGTGCTAGCACATTTTTCAAATTCTCCAGACCCTGACTAAGGGACCCATGTGGACTACCCTGATAAATGGCTGTAACTTGGGAACCAGTGAACATAACTGCATGAAACTTTGTGGTTATTCAAATGGCTTTGCTATTAGTGTACCCTGAAAATTTCATTAAGATATCTCAACAAACAAAAAAGTTGCCCTTCGAAGGTAGCCTCCCCCTTTAATTAAAGAGCCTTCATGGTAATGCCTTACATGCCTCATCAAGTGCCGAGTAAGTGTGGAAAATGAAGAGGAGACCTGGGCCTGCACGTCTGGCTACGTCGAAGGTAGCAGAATAACTGAGCGAGCCAGTACCCTTTCTTGCTTCTTTATTTCGAACACGTGAAACAAATACATTTAGGGTGACACTACACGATTGGCATTACGCTGATATCATTACGATGTCACGGGTCAGGAAAATTCTACAGCCTGATGTCACTGACTGCACGACAACGTCTCTCTGAGTCAAAGGGGCAGTTGACAGAGGAGGAAGAGAATAATGTTTACGCTAGGTGTGTAAATCTTAAGAAACAGCGTAGCTCGCTGATCTGAGGGGACGCAGAAGTGAAAGAATGTATTGGTTTAGATCGATAAAGTATAAGCTGAGAACTCTAATGTTGTTAGTATTACCATCATAACTTAATTATTAGAGAAGAAAATCAAGGCAAAAGTACCATTTTAAAATTTCGTGCTGAAATCCACGCAGTGACATCACAAACTGCGAAGTGTATTTGTCGTATTTCGCTGACATGAAATTTTGCTGAAACTTGGTACGTTATGTCTGTGGCCCCATTAGCAGACATTGTGCTCCATTTTTACCTATAGGAGCAACGTATAGGCCTTAGTGAACACCGTCAAAATTTAAGATGTCGCAGTGTTTAGTTCAAGTTGTCACCGCCGATATTTTATTTTTTTTTGAGCATCTTCTAGCCTACCAGGCGCCTTCTCGCAGCGAGCGTGGTGATTTTGCAACTGCAAAAGGGCAATTCAACGAATAACAGAAAAACCGTTTTTCTTAGTGGCTGTCTCTTTCACGTGGCCTTTGGGCGTGGCTTGGTGGCGACTGCTCTTTGGCACATGCATGGCTAGACGAGGTTAAACCCAGGTGTTGGGTATCTGTGACTTGGTTATTTCTAGGCAATGATGCAGAGATTTTTTTGCGTACAATGAATGTTTTAAATTGAGCTTTACATGGTAAATTTGGTGAATGAGTTCAATTCTTCAAAATTGAGCTTTACATGGTAAATTTGGTGAATATGTTCAATTCTTCAATTTATTTTTTTTCTGCAATCCTGAAATCATGTTTTACATCCTGGTGAAACATTGGACCCAAATAATTATTATAAGTCGAGAAGAAAGTATTTTACTGGTGGGCTGTCGTGTATGGCTATAAGAAAATTGGACTTTACAAAATGCAAATCTGCTGCTTTCCCTTGGCACAGTGCCACCATATTGGCACCATCATAAAGAAGATAGATCAGAGCTCGAGATAGCCACAAAGCTACATTTCTCTAATGAAAAATGAAGCCAGCTCGCATTCGAGCTCTATTTTCTTGGTTTCTAGCTCCACTTTCTTTGAGCTCCATCTTCTTAGCTTTAATTTTTTGAGCAGCTGCTGTAAATCATCTGTGTGCCACTTCCCAACAAATGAAGCATAGCCATTCCGTTTTCTTTGCTTAGATCCTGAGAGACTATTGGTAAGTGCTGTAAAGCTGTCTATATTTGTCTGCACATCAAACAGATCTTTATAATTGGCTTTTTGTAAAACTTATTAGTAAGACAACGTGCCCAGCACATTAAAAATATTTGTGTGGGCTTAATTTAATATTAGAAAGTAAACCAATAACATTATGGCACAGAATGGGCTCTTGTAAATATCCTTATGCAGATATATTTACAAACTTGTGTCAATTATTTCATTAATTTTTGGGATGACAATGAGAGTCTATCAAGTGCTGTAACTCAAGAACTACATTGGACAGCTGAAAACCTATTTTAGTTATGATATCAGCATAGTAAATTACATCTGCATGACAAATTTAATAACTTTATGTCCATAAATAACAATAATAGTTTCCATTGCCTCATCCAAGAAGATAATGGCTTTCACTTTCTAGTGGCTTTATTCAAACGCACAAGGGACTGTGTGACCTATTAGGGGCGAAGCTCCTAAAGCCGTGCATTTGTTAATGCATGTCTGTGACCGGTTCATAACCACCTAGTTGTACGACTCACTCAGCAGGTGGTGCTAGCGTGAGTGACAGACAGACAGATGGGTGGACGGGCAGATAGGCAGACAGGCAGACAGGCAGACGGACACACGGACACACGTACTGACAAACAGATAGAAAGATAGACGGATGGGCGGACAGACAGACGAACGGATGCACGCACGGATGGAAGCAAGAACGAACGGATAGACGAACGCACGGACAGAAGCACAGATGGACAGACGCTTCACACCACTCATCATCATTGACTCCGCGCATATGCTGTGATTTTTCGTAAGCAGCACACATGCACCTTGAATTTCTTTTATATCAGTTTGTACGGCAAGTAGGCAATCTCTTGTTCTTTGTGATGTATGCCAAAGGAGGGGCATTTCCATGGAGGTGAAATGTTGGAGGCCTGTGTGCTGAGCAATGTTGGTGCCTGCTATAGAACACCAAATGGTAAAAATTTCTGCAGCCCTCTCCTACGATGCCTCTCATAGTCATGATTGTGGAACGTAATACTCCAGATATTAATTCTGGGGTGGGAAGGAAGGAGTAGGGGCTTTCAAGCCATGGTTTGTTTCCCCCCTCTTCTGATCTCGATGCATGCCTATGCCATTGGCCTTTGATTTACACTCACGATTAATTCGTTGCAGTGGATGACTCATTTGCCATGTGCAGTTACCAATAGCCTGCAGTTGAGTGCATTCCTTTCTGAAATTCTTCCCATGTTTGTCTGTATGCAGGCTCGGTGCTCCGATGCAGCCGGTGCGGTGCCACTTTCTCGCTGACGGAAGACGGCGACTATGTGCGCCCCGAAGAGTGTGTCCACCACTGGGGTCGCCTCTGGAAGAAGCGGAGTGAGTGTCATTGACCCTGAAGTTCTTATTCTGGCTACGTTGCACTTCAGGAGTCTGACTGCTAAACTGGCTTGCTGCGTCTGTGCATTGCATTGTGTTAGTGCAAGTAGGAGCTGCCTAACCTGAATGGATAGTTGCTGCTGCCTAAGATTCAAGTAGACACATGCAGTCAAGCTAATAGAAACATTTGGCAGGTTACAGAAATGCAGTACGCAAATACGGTAAAACAGTATACCGTATTTTTGCGCGTATAATCCTCACCCCACTTTCAGCTCACCGAGAAATAAAAAAAATCCTCGCGTATTGCTCGCACATTTGAAATACAGGAAAGGCTGTACAAAAGCTACTGCTCAAGCAACATAGCACATATGTAGACAGAAAAACCTTTATTTAGCAAGCAAAATACGCTGTCTGCAAGGCCAGTCACAATTCACTCACTGTCGCCGCTCTCGCTAGAGCTATCACTTGAGCCGCAGTCCTCACTATTATGCACAAGGTCATCTTCGGTTCCATCTATGTTGTTTGTGGTGCAGCATTTCATGAAACTTTCCATACGGGGTATGGCCTTCCATACCCCGACAATCCACTTGCAGAATAGGGCAATATCAGGCCTTCGGACTCGTCCTGTCGGCAGTCGTAGCAGCCTTCGGCCATCCACTCGGCCATCCACTCGGCGTAATAGCGCTTGGCATGCGCTTTGAAGGGCTTGTTAAGCGACACATCTAGAGGCTGCAACATTGACGTCATTTCACCAGGTATAACAACTAAGTCAGTGCCGTTGCGTGAAAGGCGGTCCTTCACTTCCTCAGTTGTGTGGCCGCGGAACGAGTCAAGAACGAGCATGGACCTCTTTGCGAGCATCGCAGCGGGCATCTTCTTCCATACCGTCTTGATCCAGTCTACGAACAAGTCACTGTTTGTCCACGCGTTCTTGTGTGCGCGCACCACCACACCGGTAGGCAAATGAACCTTTGGTAGAGTTTTCTTTTTCAAGATGACGTACGGTCGCAGTTGCGTGCCGTCGGCGAGGGCACAAAGCAAGACTGTGATGCGCAGTTTCGTGTTCCCGCCGGTCAGCACGCTCACCGAACTGCTGTCCGTCTTCTCAATCGTTGTGTCCAACAGCATTTCAAAATAAACAGGAGTTTCATCCGCATTGCCGATTTGCGAGAAAATGTAATTGTGCTGCTTTCGCAGGCCAATTACATAGTAAAACGCGCTAGCGAAGATTCGACGAAGAGGAGGACGAGACTCGACTGGCTCGCGAGCGACGCTGTGGATCCTTCGCTGAGCTACACCTCTGCATTACCCATCTTGTAAATAAACGCGTTCTGGCTCACGAGCGACGCTGTGGATCCTTCGCTGAGCTACACCTCTGCATTACCCATCTTGTAAATAAACGCGTTCCATCGTCACAATCGTTTATTTACAAGATGGGTAATGCAGAGGTGTAGCTCAGCGAAGGATCCACAGCGTGGCTCGCGAGCCAGTCGAGTCTCGTCCTCCTCTTCGTCGAATCTTCGCTAGCGCGTCTCAATATCTCTAGTACTTGAGCAGCTTCTCCTCATAAGAAGTCGGCAAGCATTGACATATTGTAGTCCGCCGTCTGATTGAGAGCCCTTGCCGCTTCATGAAGCGGTGCAGCCATCCGCGGCTCGCACGGAACTCGTGAGGTAAGCCTAGCTCTCTCGAAAGTCACCGCGCTTCCACTTGGGCCATTTCGGCCGATACGGCGTGACCTTTGCTTCTGACATCTTCGATGAACTTTACTAGCTCCGCCTCCAGCTCAGGGTAGGCACCGGTCTTGGGGCCACGAAATGACCTACGGTCGCGGTGCGCAGCTTGTAGGCTCTCTTTCTTCTTTCTCCACAGTCGCACGCAGAACTCGTCCACATCGTGCCGTCTTCCCGCTTCGCGATTTCCAAATTCCTCGGCGACAACGATGATCTTAAGCTTTTCCTGTGCCGTGAAGGCCTGCCGCCGTACACTACTCATGTTGACAGAACAGATCGACTTAGGCTTGGCGAACGGGTCGAGATGTGGAGAACTAGCGGTATCAGCAAGGTAAAGAGCGCTCACACTCGGCGACAACTTGACAGCACTACCCATTCTAGTACACTGTAACAGCACCCTGGAAACAACAGAACCGAAATGCATGCCTGCTACCGCGTCAAAAAGTTGTACATTAATTTACTGATAATATCTCTATAGGCACTATAATATCTCATTTGCCTTGCTGAAATAAATACTGCTTTATTTATTATGGAACTTATCTTAATTATTATGAAACTTTCTTAGACAGCACCACCTTTTCGGCAAGCCCTTTCCAAAAGTAAACATGGCGTCCGTGACGTAGGGACATGTGGAGGGTCACCGAGCGGCCGCAAACGTCCAAAAATATATACTTCTGGTGTGACAGTGAGATTTTACTCTGAACAATCGAATTGTCTCTCTCCAAATGTTTTTCTAAACGCTTCAACGATGCAAACAAGCGAAACCAAAATCGGCCGCAAGCTGCCGTGCTACTTGCGGAGCAACACGAATTTGCGGAAACTGCCTCCGTAGCCTTCGCTACACTGTTAAGGGGCTTCACAACACAACACGCATTGCTGTGAAGCAGCACTATAGGAAAAATCCTGCGTATTATTTGCACCTCCACTTTGCCACTGAAATTTTTGGGTTTTTTGTCAGGGTTATACGCGCGCCCCGCCGCGGTGGTCTAGTGGCTAAGGTACTCGGCTGCTGACTCGCAGGGCGCGGGTTCGAATCCCGGCTGCGGCGGCTGCATTTCCGATGGAGGCGGAAATGTTGTAGGCCCGTGTGCTCAGATTTGGGTGCACGTTAAAGAACCCCAGGTGGTCTAAATTTCCGGAGCCCTCCACTACGGCGTCTCTCATAATCATATAGTGGTTTTGGGACGGTAAACCCCACATATCAATCAATCAATCAGGGTTATACGCGCAAAAATACAATAGTAGCGCTTCTCCTTTCCTTCTCGTGTGCTTTCCGCTCCCAATTGCAGTGATAGTGCGTCTTCCAAGGGACACATTCTCGTTAACAAAGCATAGGCTGAGGGGCTACAATGAGGCGTGACATCGCCACAGTAACTTTTGAAAAAAGATTTTGTGCTCTTTGGGTGCCTTCACTGGAAAAAGGTCTACGACCCTGAAAGTTATGCCGTACTCTCATACGGTGTCTTATTTGCATACTGTATTTTTATAACTTACTAAAGGCTCTAAAGTAGCGCACAGCTGAAAGAAGGGAAACTGTGTCATAGTGTCCATCTCTGTTAGGTGCTACACATGAAGTCAACAGACAGTTAGGCAAAGGAAAGTATAGAAGGCATTGTTTTCAGATAGTAAGTGAACCAGAGAAATTGTAAAATTGAGGGAAAAAAAGTGGGTGAAAAGACAACTTTTTGTTGGTAGTGGTGGGGGGGGGGGGGGGGGGGCACGCTACAATTTGCACTGCTACGCCGACACTACTGCTGGTCCATTGTATTGGCTGGTTCTGCGTGTATAACTCTGGGGTGGTAGCAGATGTGTAACGACCCTTTTGCCAGTCAGCATTCTCACGTGTGGCGTGTTTTGATGTGATAGAAGTTTCACGTGGTGCAGTTTCGTGCAACACATTTTCATGTGACACTGGCTCCTCGTTCGCAGTTGCGGGAGCCCTGGAGAGTCGCTACAGCTGTTGTGAGGGTGACGGGGAGTCGGACGGTTGCTGTGTTGCCAAGGTGAGTTCTGTTGTGCGCCGACACCCCTCACCATCTTTCCACATCCAAAGAAACCTCACCAGCTTTAAGATTCCACGCTACTGAGCACGTGAAACACTCAGAAAGAATTTTAAACTTCGAGTAATCTTTCATTCAAAACAGTGGTCATCTGGCTCTCTCCAAATTCCGTTTTTGAAAACTTGGGGCTCATCACTTTCTCATAATTAAGAATGCTTTGGCACACTCATGGGGTGCATGGCATGCTCATGGGATTTTTTTCTTTGTCAGACACAATACCAGTAAGAAGTAACAAACAATAAGGCAAAGGAAAGTGAAGAGGACATTATTTGTGCGTAATTATGATATAAACACGAAAAAAGTAAGGTGAATCAAAAGACAATGTGCTGCTGGCAGGGACCGAACCTGCAACTTTTGGAAGGTTGCAGGTTCTGTTTGATAAATGTGAAGAAAGTGAAGTGGATGAAAGGACAACTTATCGCTGCTGGCAACCAACCCTGCAAGTTTGCAGGCTCAGTTTTCGCGGGCGGAAAGTTGTCTTTCCTTCCATACGAGCACTGTCCTAATTGCATCATCGTCTCAACATTGCATATGCAGTGAAACCTCGTTAAGGGTGGACGCGGGTCTTAGAAAAGTAAAAAAATGGCCAAAAAATCGATTTTGAGGAAAAACGCATTTTTCGAATCTTTGAACCTATAAGCACCTCTCCTCAAATTATTAACGCTAAATACGATAAAAAATAGGTTAAAATCTATTTTCAAACCATCACGGGAGTCGCAAAACAGAAAATTTGTTCGAACTTCCCGCGCGCGCCGCCAGCGAAGCAGCCGGCGGATCGGCGCCATCTTAGGCTTGTTTTGAAGCTGGTTCCTTTGTGCGCGTTTTGCGGGCTCTCAAAATGGCGTAGCTCCAACACAACGACTGCCCTCCCCCGTTTTGCGAAGCCGTCTGCCGGACCGCTGATTGGCTAGAGCGCGCGCGCCGGCGAGCCCCCCCGTCTCGCGCTTACCATTGGCTAGCGCGGCCACGGTTGCTCGCTCTTTTTTTTTTGTTTGTTTGTTTGGTTTTGCTCCGTCGGCGCCTGCTCTCGTGCGTGTTATCTCGTCTGCTACCCGCTCGTGTACCGACGTCGTCGACGTATACGTCTTTCTGCATTTCGCCGGCATGGCTTGGGAAGCTCGCCTGAAGAAGAACACTCGTCAAGCTTTCGGCAGGGGCAGAAGGGAGCGGCCTGCGCGCCGCCGAGAACGCCGGAGATGGCCGAGGCAGCGCATTCTGACGACAACGGGCTGTCGGAAATGCCTGTTATTGCGGAGGCAGCACATTCAGACGACGACTCGCTGGCGCAAGTGCCTGTTATTGCCGAGGCAGCACATTCAGACGACGATTCGCTGGCGCGAATGCCTGCCGAAGCGGTGCACTCTATTCGGCCCAGCTGCAGCACTTCGTCGGATCATCACGTCAGCGAATCGTCATCCGGCACTACTGGAACCATTCAAGGTCGTGTCGACACGACGTTTTACTCTGCGGACGAGTTCGCCGATTGCTCCATACGTGCGGCTAATTTAAAAGAGTCCCTGGCATCGCAGTGCGCGACAGCACGAAAGTTTGAGCTGCTGGACGTTCAGCTGGAGGGCGACGACAAAGAAAACGGCACGCAATTTGCCATTGTTGATATAGAAGCGATAGACTCGCTATTTGGACTTCTCCCCTGCCCCGAGTGCGGCTCAAAAAGTATGACTTTCTCCAAGGGAAAAAGAGACTATGGGCTGTGCTCAAAACTCGTGCTCGCATGCAGCAGTTGCGACTTTCGCGAAGAACGGTTTTCTTCACCGAGAGTTGCCGAAAATAGCCAGGCCAAAGTAAGGCCTTTTGAAGTGAATTTGCGTGCCATGAAAGCGATGAATACTATCGGCAAAGGGGCAACAGCTCTGACGGACTTTTTTGCCGCGATGAATATTTCGCATCGAGGGCTTCACCAGAAAACATATCAAAGCCACATGAAAATCATGCGGGAAGCCTGCGGTGCGACTGCTGCCGAATGCGAATCCACTAGCGTTGCCCGCGTCAAAGAACTCTATGCGGAGTTTGGCAATCCACCGGGCAACGTCGACGTCATTTATGATGGCACGTGGCTTACCCGTGGACACAGCTCCCATATCTGTGTTGGTTGTATAATTGAAATGTACACTGGTTTAGTTATTGATCACGTTATACTTTCAAACTTTTGCCTGGGCTGCGCCACTGGACCAAAGGAAGATGAGGAGGGACACGCTGCTTGGTTCGTCCAGCACGCCCCTGTGTGCCAGAAAAATGTTGACTGCAAGGCTGGCCAGATGGAAGTAGAAGCAGCCCTACGCCTCTTCCGACGCTCCTTAGAAAAGCATAAGCTTCGGTACACAACAATGCTTTCAGATGGTGATAGCCGAACCTTTCATGCCCTCACTGAAGATGAAGTTTACGGATACATAAAAGTTGAAAAAAAAAGACTGCATCAACCATGTGCACAAACGAATGGGGGCTGCCTTACGAACGCTCATCGAAAAGAAAAAAGCTCAAGGTGAGTCACTTGGCGGAAAAGGTAGGCTCACTCAAGACAAAATAAAGAAAATTACCTCTTACTATGGCTATGCCTTGAGGAGCCACAAGAGTGATGTGCCAGGCATGAAAAAGGCTGTGCTGGCCACACTAAGGCACATGTCATCAACAGACGAGGCACCCAAACATCACCTCTGCCCTGAGGGAACAGATTCATGGTGCAAGTTCAACAGGGCCATAGCCAATAGTGAGGTGCCTCCACCGCACAAGAACAGCCTGCCCGATTTCGTCTGTGAGGCACTAGAGCCTGTGTTTATGAGGCTTAGCGACAAAGCATTGTTAGAAAGGTGCAGTGATGGGATCACCCAGAATCCTAGTGAGAGCTTACACGCTACAATTTGGCAACAAGTCCCCAAGACCACCCATGCCTCACTGCGCAGCGTAGAAAGAGCAGTGGCTGAAGCCATCAGCCGCTTTAATCAGGGGGCCACGAAGAGCAATGAAGCAATTGCTGAGAAGCTAGGCTACAGTGCAGGAAATCTCTTCATGCGTCGTAGCCTTGAAAAGGATAAAACCAGGCTTCACAAATCGCGGAGGGAGCACCTGCAGAGCAGTTCAACAAAGGCAACACTTGCAAAGCGACATAAGCCTGCAAGAGGACACTGCATACAGCCCTGGCATGCTGTAGAATTGTAGGGATGTCTGGGACAAAAAATGTGTGTTTTACTTGAAATAGTGTTTTATGTATAAAAGGGCGATGTTTTTATATATAACATGTGTCTTCCTTTGGTTTTCAGTGCACTAGAACAGCCACAAAGTTGTAGACTAGGTTCCTTATACTGATTCAACGGCCAGTACACAGTTTTTAAATGAGCTGTGGCAAATATTTTGGGAAGGTGCATTGACACATTTGGTATAGCCATACTCACATAATGTAGAGCTATACAACGGTGCCATTTTTATTGCTCTAGCTTCACTTTAGCAAAGTTACAGTTATTAGAAACTTTAAATGCGTTTTTCTCAGTTCGATGTTTTTGTGCACCACACTAAACCTTAGGGGTTTTTCTTATATGTTACTGTTGATTGAGAATGGCAAACTTGGTATCATTTTATTTGTAATAACATTACCTATGGGGTGATGCTATTTTCATTACTCTAGAAGCATACTGTTAATTACAATTATGGATAGTAATGAGCGAAAATTGAACAGAATATCCATTGTAAATGCTGGTCTGTTTTCTTATCTATATAATGCCTAAAAATTAATAAAAATAGCATCACCCCATACAGAAAGCCCTCAGCATTGGGGCTATGCATTTATTTTTTGGATCTGGCTTGATTAAGTTGCCAAAAAGCCCCCAATGAAGTGCATAATTAATTAAATTACAGATGTAAATATCTTTTTATCCACTGAAGCTATTTCAGAAACAATTACATATTTGAAATCAGCATGAAAAACTGTCCAAGATGGTGAGGTTTGGTCAAGATTGAGCCAAAAACGGAAAAAAAATTTTAAAGACCCATGTCCCCCCTTAAACCGTAGTTGGCCGGAGCTCGGAAAAAGTACGTACTAAACGGTAGTACTGCTTAACCAAAATAGAGTCAGGTCGCTCACTTACCTGTCAAAAAAAAAAACCTTCAGGGAGTGCAATGAAGGAACAAAAAACGTCCAGTAATTTATTAACTTCGCGTGACAAAGTCTGTAATCTTCATTTGACGACGCGGCGGCCTAGCAGCAACGACAGTGGCCTCAAACTCTCTTATGCTGTGAGCCAGCTTTTTCGCCAGCCCCCTCTTCTCAGCAAATACCCGCATGATGCTGACGCAATGCGCAGCTTCGGCCACTGTTGGACCTGGATCACCCGTGTTGTCGCTTTCCATGTCGTCCTCATTACTATCATTTGGCGACACTTCGACAACCGAGGCAACAATGGCTTCGTCGGACATGTCCGGAGATGTCTGCACATCGCTGTCTGCGTCTCTGAAGTCGGGGAAAGAAATGCCTTCCGTAACGCCCTGCTGCTCCAGCACTTCAGCTAGCAGAGTTTTGAAAGCTTCATCTACGATGTCGAAGTCTGGTCGATGGTGTCACTGCCGTCATCTGCGTCGCCCGAACACACACTGAAGCCAGCACGCTTGAAGCAATTTGAAATGTCGTTGCTTCAACCTGCCGCCACGAGTATTCGAGCAGATGAATCGCGCCAATCAGGTCGATGGAGAATAATTTGCCACATTCAATGGCGAGAAGAAATCTGCGCAGCAGGTTCTTCTTGTAGAGCTGTTTTACAGCTCGAATGATGCGTTGGTCCAAGTGCTGAGCAATCGCTGTTGTGTTTGGTGGCAGAAACGCCAACTGCACAGCCGTCAGGTTCTCCAGGGCGACGTGCGCCGAAGCGTTGTCTAAAATAATAACTCTTCTGTTCTTAGCCGCAAAACGACGACCGATGAGGCGCACATACTCCTCTAAGAGTTTTGCCGTCATCCACGTTTTGGTGTTGCTGCGATAGATGACCCCTGATGGCAACCGGGAGTCTTTGAAACCTCTAGGCTTCGCCAACTTTCCGATCATGAGGAGTGGAGTTTTGTCGGTTTCAGTCTTGTTAACGCAAAACGCCACTGATATTCTGTCTTTTGCATGCTTGTCGCCGGTGCTCGTCTCGCCTTTGAACGTGAGCGTTTTGTCTGGTAGCAGCTTAAAGAATAGCCCCCATTCATCCATATTAAAGATGTCATCAGGTGCGTAGTCTTCCAAGATGTTCTTCATCTGACCATTTTGCCACTGCTTCGTGCCATCCACGTCAGCAGCAGCACCTTCTCCCGAAGGAGTCCTCGTGGTAATGCCGTGCCTCGCCATAAATCTGGCCAGCCAGCCATTGCAGCACATGAAGTTGTCATGGTTGAGCTGCGAGGCAAAAACCAGGGCCTTCTCCACGAGCAGGGGTCCGCTAATAGGCAGATTTTTTGACCCTGCAGCTTTTAGCCACTTCACCAGCGCCTCCTCTACATCCGAAAACGCCGAACCGCGTTGCCGGCACCTTTTCGCAGTTGCAGCAGCACTGCCGAGCAACTTCTCTCTGGAATTCCAAATTCCACACACCGTGGTTAACGGCAGGTTCTTTTCGCGTGCCAGCGCCGATTTTTTCGTGCCACTTTCAATAGCACGAATGATGTCCGATTTCTCTTCTATTTTTAGCACTCCATGCTTTTGTCCCAGCTTCGGCATGACGCAAGTACGAAGCAGCACAAGCACACCTACACAACACGTGAAAAACAACGCGAGAGCTGTACGGCACGGATCAACCAGAGAACACCTATGCACGGCGCCAAAGGAACAAAGAAAGCAAAGCAAGCGCACATAGTGTTTGCGTGTTGTACAAAGCGCCATCGCGTGGACAACACCAGAAGCCTAGCCGGCCAAGTGCTTCTTGTTGCAGGAAAATCCAACCAAGAGATGGCACTCACCAACACAGCCGTCATCATCATCAACACAAACATGCGAGGCGTGTTTCGATCTCTGGGGCTTGCTGTATCTGTCGGGATGCCCAGTGGGGGACGACATGCCGCAGGAAATGCGCAACGGGAATTGGAAAAACTACTTATTAACCGATACATACGCGATAAGCTGGTACGGCTTATGCGGATGCAAAATGCATTATGTTCAATGCCCGCCTAGTTGATGATTTGACTTCACTACTTTTAAAACGAAACTACTGTTTACGCGGGTACGGTTTAACGAGGTTTCACTGTATCAACCTGTTGCGCAGGGTCACGTGCACGAGGGCCCTGAGCCGAGTCAGCTGACTGGTTTTGTGTCGACGCTCGCCAAGAGTCCACCACCTGGCGGAGGTTGCCCTGGAGTGTATGCGCTTGATTGTGAAATGGTGAGACCTTCACTTGTGGCATTGAGTACTCTTGAAACTCGTCAGCAGTGCTGCTGGTGAAAAGTAAGCCATTTCGTGGGTGCATCTTAGGTGTACAGGAAAGCTCTTTTATGTAACTTTGCATGCTGTCACTTGTGGCAAATTACCATGTATTCATAACATCTTGCTTTATCATTCATCAAGACTTGGAAGTCCTGTACTTGAAGGTCCAAATGAAGGTCCAAATGTGATTTTCCAGCACATTATCGAATAGTTTGAGCACTGCTTCAGTTAATCTTGTTTCGGTAATGTAAGCATTGTAACTTGTGCTGGCACAAGTTATCTTAGAAGAAAGAAATGTCTGGTAACGGTAACTACAAAAAAAAAAAAAAAAGTGGCAGGCAAATTACATTCCCGATTCCTGAACCCTTCGCACTGCTGTCATCATCAATGCTGATGGGCAGTGGATTATTTACAGTGCTGTGGCAACGGTTGGAGATAGAAGAAATATGGTTTTGCTGCTGAATCGTGTGCCAACAGAAATTAAGGGGGAACGTGGCAATGAAAATTATCTTTGTTATTTATGAAGCTAAAAGAAATTTGGCATGAAGATGTCATTTGTTGTGCTGACATCATAACTGAAATTGGTTTTGAGATATCTAATAAACTTTTGAGTTACTACACTTGATAGACTCATTCTGATTTCAAAATTAATGAACTAATTAGATGCAACTTTGTCAAAATCTTTGCATAAGGATATTTACATGGGTCCATTTGGTGCCGTAATGCTATTAGTTTATTTTGAGTATTTAAGGAAGCACACAAAATGTTCTTCTGAAATGTTCTGGACATGTTGTCTTACCAACAACTTCTACAAAAAGCCAACTACAAAAGTCTGTATGATGTGCACACAAATATGGACACCTTTACGGCACTCACCAATGTCTCAAAACCTAAGTGCAGGAAACGGAATGGCTATAGCCTAATTTGTTGTGAAATGGTACAGGAATGACTGACAGCAACTGTCCAAAAAATGAAACCTTAGAAAAATGGAGCTCAAAGATATTGGAGCTACAAGCTGATAAAATGAAACTCTGAAGGAAGCTGGCTTTATTTTTCATTGGAGAAATGCATCTTTGTGGTTATCTTGAGCTCCAATCTGTCCTCTTTATAATGATGCCAATGTGGTGGCACTTTGCCAAGGGAAAGCTGCAAATTTGCATTTTTCTATGCCCAATTTTCACAAAGCTTTTGACGACAGCCCACCAGTAAAATGCTAGTTTCTCAACTTCAGTTACTTATTTTGATATAAAATCGCACCAGGATGTAAAACATAGTCTCAGGATTACAGAAAAAAATAATTGAAAAACTGAACATTTTGACCAAGTTTACGATTCCCATTGCCACGTCCCCCTTAAATTGGCAGTGATGATATCTGTGTCTACAAGAGTAACTGTACTCGTATGTCAACTCCAAACATTTCTCAGATGAGGCAAGAAAGGCCCTTGAAATCGATTTAAGTGTACTTTATTTATCCAACTTCTGACAGAAAAATTTTTTCATCTTTGAGAAAATATATCACACTTGTGTGTACTCGTGGTATCAGAAATAATGTTTGGTCCTTTTTCATCGAACTGTTAACAGGAAATGTAGGTGTACCCCGAAGTGATCTCTGTCTTTTTTCAAAACGACTTTTTTGGGTGTTAGTGCACTTTCTTCACAGGAATTTACGGCATAGGCAAACAAGAAGTCTCATGTGTGTGAGCTGGTAACATTTACGTAACTGGAATCGGTATAAGTAGCCCAAGTGTGTTTGTATTGTCTTAGCTTAAAAGGAAGAAAAAAACATTCATAAGTAGCAATTTCATACATGGACAAGCATAAAATATTGTAACTAAGTTAGCTTATGTTGTGGGCTCACAATTTTAGTTTGACTTACGTAAAGCATTAGTGGCTACCTTTGTACAATATTGCAAAGCTCTGCAATTAGTAGTTGAGAAGAAATGAGTATGTTTGTCTAAAAAATAAAATGAAAATTTTAAATATGCTTAATAGCAGAAATAACTAGCCGCTGTCTAATGAAACATGCTCCCCAGGGCCATCGTCTCCTGTAATAAGGTATACTGTGAACAGTTTTGTGATCTTCTGTGGAATTCAGTATACCCCGACTACAGTAGATCCCAGGTATATCGAATTACTTGCTATATTGAACAGTTGATAAATCTCTTTGAATTCCCCATGCAGAAGTAAAGGACTGTTGCACGCATATTGAGCTTCTGCAGAGTGTAATCTCCTATATATCGAATGCTGCTCCAGGCCGAAGCCTAGAAAGTGCATTTATTCTGACAAAGATTGATCATTTTTCGGCCGTGTTTCTGACAAGTTTCGATCCCTCCTCGGTCGCAAGTGACACAAAGGTGGTGTATTTCAGTTGTTCCGCAGCACTTTTTGTGAGTGCATCAGCACGTGATGCATGATATGTCATAAGTTGTAACATGTGGACACAGTTTTTCAAAGGGTCCAATTGCCAAACGCACCGAAATCAGATGAATGCAAAGTGACTTGGTGGCCTTGTCGCAGTGTTCACATTCCCTTTCCTGCTTGTTCGCGCACAATGCTATACAGGCCCAAAAAGCATGGCCTTCAAGATCCGCAACCTTATGACGTGTCTTTGGCGTTTTTTAGTTATAAAGTACACCTCTCTGAAAATGCACTTTTTCTTGCTTTTCGCTCTCCGCTACCTACAACGCCCCTTGTGTCATCGACATCTGTTTGTGGATAGGGTGGACAGCGTTGGCAATTGTGGCTTGTCAACTTCAGTAGTTCTCGCTTCGTTCTTGCTGAATCTTTTTTCTGGAGTCGAACCATAGATTGAATTGCTCGTAGTGATAACATTGATGGCTGGTGCTTGGAACAACGTCAAGCAAAGCGCCGTCGTGCACAGTTTTTTGCGGGCTTCGGTGTCAGGCGACGACTTCGGGTGTGCCATCACTGCTGACAACAAGGTACAGTGCTTTAGTCAGTTTTGCAAATTGTTAGAATTCCCGGGTGCTATATCAGACGGGAGTACAGAAAGAGACTTCATCGGTTCAGATGACGATGTCGCTGTTTCTGAGTGCATCGATGCTGATATCATGGCTGGCTTTGTCAGTGCTGTGGAAGTGATCCCGTGCTGTTATGAATCATTACAGCTCTGTGCTAAACAACATTTTACTGTGCTACATAGCTTGTAAAAGTGTTCAGCGTTAATCACCGCGCTTGTAGGCCAAGGTGCTGAATTAGCTTAGTTTTAAAGCTTTAATGCTCGATTAATGATAACGACTTGGTGAACTTGGCGGCATGCAAGTAAAAACAAGTCTACGGACTTTGTCACGCGAAGAAGTGCAGCAACTTGCAAAAGAAGTTGTCACCTTTTTTTTTAAAGCATACTGTGAGCAAATCGTCACATTATTGCTTATTACGATTTCTGAAAGCCGTTTCAGGAATTGTAATACATTAATATAAGCCTTAAAAACACATATTTCTTATATGAAGCATCGATATATCGAACAATTTGCAATCCCTTTGAGTTTGACACATCCATGATCGTCTACTGTAATGGTTTTAGTTTCACAAGCATTCAGTCATCTAACAGTCCTCAAGGAACAAAGCGCCAGCACACGAGGTTTCGCCTTAAAAATTCCTTTTTTTTCATACTGTGCAGTGCTACACGTCCGAAGGAGTGGAGCTCACACGAGTCACGGTGGTCGGCTGGGACCTGAGGCCCGTCTACGAGAAGCTCGTGAAGCCGCGGGGACAGATTCTGGACTACAACACGCGGTGAGTGTGTTGTACAGCTCGCTATTGGTGACCCTGGTTACCTAACTGACCTGTTTTGTGCGTGATGTGCAGACAATGAAGCCTTGATAGTGTGAATTTTCACAGGATTAAAAAAATGTTTATTTCTTATGAATTGCTTAATTATTGACATCATCTAAAAAAACCAATCAAGTGCTTAGTACGCATGCACTTATTTACCAAATGAATTGAGAAATGTTCCTGTCCTAATCCAGGATGAATTTTTAGTCTATTATTAAAACGGCTATCATCTGCTTATAACAACAATTATTTTCTAACCACTGCATTGACTTGAAACAGTTATGACATCTATCATGATGTTACTGATGAATTTGATACCAACGAAATGCGAGTGGTAGTACGACTGCTCTTTGTTTTCAACTGCTCCCACCATGCTCATGACATTGTGCCCTCATGGCAGCGATTTAAAATGAATTTTTTCCAGAGGAACTGATGGTCGCGTCCAACTTGGTCACAGTTTAGAGGCGATTTGCAGCAAGTTGAAAGGAAACTCAAACTGCTGTTCGCTGCATTTCTGGCCAAGCTGGCGATCGCGGATGATGACTGCACATTTGCAACAGCTCACGTTGAGCAGGAGTGAAACAGCTGTTTACTGCAGTTGTTCTGGGTTAAACATTGGTCACTATTGATAGATTTATAGATGGCATTTGTGCAGCTCTGGAAGAACACAAAAAACATACATCCACTGTGGCAAAACAAGACTGTCGTTTGCTGCAGTCACTTCAGAGTTGCTAAGGATGCAGTAGGGTATGGTGGAAGTGCCGTTGTGAAGGCACAAGCACTGCCATTGTGCTGTACTCTGCAGCTCCTGTTTTCGGGAGAAACGCTCTGATGTTCCTGTTTCTCTGTATAGTTTCCTCTGTAAACTAAGGCGATAGGGATGTTGCCGCTTTGTTTCAATTCGACGGTAGCACCGTATTGGCTTTCATGCATTGTGTGTTTGCCGTGTCTTACGGTCAGCATGTTCTGATTATCTGCTGCTTAATAAACTGGGGAGCGTTTAATGCCAATAAGCTATGCACATGCTTGGTGACAACAAAGGATGACCTTGCACAGTGTGACTTACTTAATTTTATAGGGTCAAATTAACCAAGTTCTATTGTAGCCCGCAATCATTTCTTCTAGTCAACCGTCCAGCTTTTCAGAGGTTCCAGTTGGTTTATTATTTTGTTACATGAGTTTTCGAATGCTTCAAGAAAAATAGTGTTCTTGGAGAGGTATTGCTAATTATGTTTATTCATTGAACAGCATGTCACTTGTAAGTTTGTTTTCCAAGTCTGCCGATGCATATGTTCAATTTCAGCGGGGAAATTGCTAATTGTTCTGAAGTTTTGTTTATGCATGACGCAAAAGTTGTCTTCGTCTTCTGTTTTTTTTTATTATGGTTGCTGCAGTGATTTTATTCGAGTGCTCGCACTTTGATAGCTACTATGCTGACTGCATTGCTTTATGCTGTTTTGTCGCCCGGGTGTAATGCAGGTTCAGCGGCCTGACAGAAGAGGACATGGTGGGCGTGAATACGAACCTAAGGGATGTCCAGGCTGCCCTGCTGGCCCGTTTTTCGGCCGACACAATCCTCTTGGGCCACAGTCTCGACTCGGACTTGCGCGCCCTGCGGCTGATTCACGAGACTGTCGTCGACACGGCCGCCGTGTTCCCCCACCGACGGGGACTCCCTTACAAACGAGCCCTGCGTACCCTCATGGCCGAACACCTCAGCAAGATCATCCAGAATGGAGGTGATTGACAGCTTTCGAGGCTGATGTGCTTGGTTAAAACAAAACTCACTGGGTACCTTGTGCAGTCAGTTAAGACGAATCAAAGGCAAAAGCCATCCTCTTTTTTTTTAGTTGGTCAATTTATTTATTGATCTTGCCATGCCATCCTATGAAAGCTGTCTGCATTCAACATGGTTTAGCTCTGCTTCCAAGATCAGAGGCACCACACCTGATGCTGCATTGCCTCTGGGATCCGACTACTCTTGACCAAGCTACGATTCCATGTGATGAAGTCATCACGTTACTCTACGTCACAGTTACGTCATGATCATGCTAGAAAATTTGGTGATCTGAGATGTCATGATGATGTCATGTAGTGGCATCATCATGTGACACTAGTTGCATTTGTCATGTACAGTGCTTTAATCTTTCTTTGTTCAATCAATCAATCTTTCTTTGTTCTAGTTTTATCCCCTGCTATTGATTATTTTAATCAATAGCAATTTATTGATTTTAATCAATAGCAATTTATTGATTTTAATCAATAGCAATTTATTGATTTTAATCAATAGCAATTTATTTTAATGATTAATTTTATCAGTAGAGTTATCATCATGTTTTGTAATAGTGTAATAGTTTGTAATTGTTTTTGCTGTATTTTTTTGTAATTGCCCCATACATGTCGTCATAAGAGGTCCCCCTGCCAGTTTTTCTGAAATGGTCCAACATGCCAGTCCATCTAGAGACTGGCGTGTTGGACCGACTTGTCAGACCCGCGGTGGCTGATAGGTTCTGCTTATCAGCATTGTGGATTAGCCGCAGTATGCTTGTGGTTCGAGTGAATGCCCAATAGCATGATTGCCTCACAGGTGAAGGGCGGTTGCGCCGTGTGTGAAGGAGCTATTTATTCTTAAATTGTGACTGATTGTGGTATATTTGTATAGCTGCCCTCATACCACGCGCTTGGCATCGCCAAGGAGGTGGCTGAATTTGCTCTGCCAAGTGGTGACGCAACGCCTTTTATTGTGCGCAGTGGATGGTCACGACAGCCAAGAAGATGCAGCCGCCTGCATGGAGCTGATGCTGTGGAAAGTGCGCGACGACCTCAAGAAAAGTGCACGATGATCGCTTGGATGTCTCCAGCAATACCAAACATGGCTGCTAGAAAGAGCAACACTCGATCCACTTCGCTGGAGCAGGGAGTGTGACCGGCCTTGTCTGCTGGCGTTGCAGAAAGACTGCACTGTTGGCTCATGCGGTTCATGACAAGCTGCTTGCTAAGAACAATTATAGAAGTGTCAGGGTATTCAAAGCCTGCGGTGGTTTCGGATTACCCCGGGTTCGTCCCCACCTGAGAACCTGCCTTGCGAGAGCAATGCTAGCAGTTCTCACAGACGAAGTTGAGGCACGCCCTGAAAAAACCACGTGTATTTGATTGCGTTGAAATAATGCTTCATCCGCCTAAACTTTGAAATGGCTGCTCTCGCTCTAAAAGCAGTGTACTGATTCAGAAACGAGTGGGTTTGAACAAATTCTAAAGCTTTTACAGATATGGGGGCATGGAAAAAAGAAATGTTTGACAGAAAAATTTTATCCTTAAATTAGTGGAAAAGAAGTATCAGTACTTCTTCAGTGTCGTCTGGGATTTTTATGAAAGCTGCCACACGAAGCCGCATGAGAAGCTTGGCAGTGACTTTAAATTTCACGAGTATTTGTTGCACAGACTTGTGTCTGATTGCTTTTCTTGCCGCGCTTCCAAAGGTCACACGTGTTTAACTTTGAGGAAGGCAGAGTCTGAGATAAGTGTGATAAAAGGGTGTCTTTTATGTGTTTTGTTAAAGTAGATAAAGTTGCAAGAGAAGGAAAGGGTGAGTTCTGTTCGCTTAGTGCCTGTCGATTAAAAAGTAAGTGATAAAGAAGTCACCCCTTTCTCACTTGCCAAGCACAGCTTCTTGACTTTGTGAGCATGCGAAGCACTGCGATCCGCGCCTTCATTACACCTAGCACCTCTTGGGTGGCGTGCATTGCCAGTGCTGGTCGCCTTTGGAATGCACGCTGCTGTCATTGCTCCCATGTCCCATTGTTAGCATGACTGGGGTCGTGTTTAAGACGGGGATTTGTAACCGATATTTATGTATATATTCCATACACTGTTGTCTGTTCTTGCACTTGTTTTCCTTCTCCTTAATGAGCAATAAAAGATGAACCACATCCAATAAACGTGTTGTTTCGAAGTTACTCGTCTCGTCTGTTTGGTCGAAATCACTTGCACGCAGAGTGATGCACTACTGCAAGTGACACAAGGTGCTTGCCCCACCGAGCACTCCCTATCAAGCTCTTGCGGTTTTCCAAATATTCCCCCCCAAAAATCCTTCCACAAGGATAAAACTGGTGCAAAAGGGGTGGACCTGGTTCAAGCTAAAAGTTATGTTCGATATATGTGATACTGGAGCATAAGTTAAGCAGTAATGAACTGTCAGGATAATTATGGAAATTAAATGAATGAGTTCATTTAAAGAGCAGACGGTTGCTTTGTAAGCAGCTGGGAACGTTGTGGTACCTGGTGGAGCAGGTCTCAACCACGTTTTTTTTTTTTTTATGCGGCCTCTGAGTTGCGCTTCAGCAGCATGAAGGAATGCAAAGTTAAACCTAGGAAAACACTAGAGCAAACGAACACTGATGTGCTGTTACCAGGTAAATTAAAGCTTATGGGCACCTCGAATTTTATTCTCTCGAGAAGTTCCTTACTATGCTGTCAGAACTGCAGTTCATGTGACCTACGACCTCTATTGTAACACTTGACAGCTGCTAGTGTGTATTCTTATTGAGCTATACTAGCATGTCATTTGGTACTGCTTCTTTGGCCGCTCTGGGTAATGCTGCCTGGATGGTTTTTCTTGTTCACTTGAGGTCTTCCAAAGGGACGATCTAATGGGTGCCCATCATGCTAGAATATACACGGCTTGTGTGCCTAATAGGGCTAATAAATGCGAAGCATTTCTTAGCGAACCTCGGCGACTTTGAGCGTATCTATCTATCTATCTATCTATCTATCTATCTATCTATCTATCTATCTATCTATCTATCTATCTATCTATCTATCTATCTATCTATCTATCTGTCTGTCTGTCTGTCTGTCTGTCTATCTGTCTGTCTGTCTGTCTATCTATCTATCTATCTATCTATCTATCTATCTATCTATCTATCTATCTATCTATCTATCTATGTATCTATCTATCTGTCTATCTATCTATCTATCTATCTATCTATCTATCTATCTATCTATCTATCTATCTATCTATCTATCTATCTATCTATCTATGTATCTATCTATATCTGTCTGTCTGTCTGTCTATCTATCTATATCTATATATCTATCTGTCTGTCTGTCTATCTATCTATCTATCTATATATCTATCTATCAATCTATCTCTATCTATCTATCTATCTATCTATCTATCTATCTATCTATCTATCTATCTATCTATCTATCTATCTATCTATCTATCTATCCCCTTACGACATTTAGTTCTCCTGGCCGTTTCGATAACGGTATCGATACCAAACGTGGTATGCCATGACATGACTGCATGACGAGCATAAATGACTTCATAACATGAAAATCATGACATGCATGTCATGAATGTCATGATTTACATTCCATGGTCTTGCGGTGGTTTCGTTCACATGACATGTTGCAAAACTGGCATGGTAGGACGTGACTGCATAGTGACAGACCCAAACGCAGAAATCATGACGTGCATGTTAACATTTTTATGTTATGACTACTCATTACTACACACCACGCTCATGTTGTGCTCGTGGCCGTTTCGCTAGCTTCGCATCTAACAAATTTGGTATTGCGGGATGTAAATGAATGATAAAGGTATATGTGACTGGTGCAAACATAATCATTAGTGCAGGTGCGTGTCTTGTAACGACATGACTACATGCCACGCTTATGATGCGCTCGCGGCCGTTTCACTAGCGTCACATGTACCAAATTTGGTATTACATAACGCGGACGGACGACTAGGTAAAGGACACGTCCAAACATGATAATCATGACATGCGTGTCATGTAACAACATGACTACATGCCACACTCAAGGCGCCAATACACTTTGACGTCACCCGGTGCGCGTGTGCGCCGACATTCGTTTCGCCGCGCCACGCTGGCGATGCAACGCCAGGCGCGGATCTGCGCCTGCGTTGCTTTGATGCATGCGTGTTTGAGCGCGCCCGCCGTCCCTCCATTAAGAAGACAGGCAGATGCAGTGCTGTCTGGGTAACGTCATGGGCGCGAAATGCATTTAGCGCTGGTTGTCGTGGGGCCGCGCCGACGGACGCTGTTCGCACCGGTCGCGTCTGGCGTCCGTTTTGCTAGCGCAGTGTCGCTGCGTCCAGCGTGCGCGCTCGTCAACGTTAGGTCGGAGTATATTATGCCCTTCATGATGTGCTCGCGGCAATTTCGCTTGCTTCACATACATCAATTTTGGTGTTACGTGACGTCAATGAGTGACGAAGGTATATGACTGGTGCAAGCATGATAACCATGACACGTGCCTTGTAAGAAATGACATTATACCATGCTCATGATGCGCTTGCGGCCATTTCACTTGCTCCACATATACCAAATTTGATATCACGTAATGTGGATAGACGACAAAGGTAAATGATACGTCTATACATGATAATCATGATATAGTGTCATGTAAAGTGCATTTTTGAGGAAGGCAAAGCCCGACCACAGAACTACAGTGAACTAGCCCGACACGACTACCTTGCACTATGGTGGCTAGATGGGGAGGTGTCGGCATCGGGCAGCCTGCGCTGCGAGAGGAGACGCGCAAGTGTCCCATGACGCTGCTAGGTGGCCACTTGTCGCCACGGAGATGCCTTCATGCTCGTGGTGAAGAGCTGCCGTGCTGCCGCTGCCTTCAGTGATTTCTTTTTGCAAAGTGGCCGTGCTCGCTACAGCTATGGTGATTGAAAAGAGACAGATATACTGCTTTGCTCCAGGATGTACTGCCGGGTATTTTTCCGCCGGAAACCAAGGTAAAAAAATGGCAGCATATCCACGGAGTGAATGATGGAGAGTGGGGCGAAGCATTCGTCCGTTCATTCGTTCTTGCTTCCGTACTTCGGACCTAATGTCTTTATCAGCATAATTGGAATGCCAACTGGGCCTGTTGATGTACTACTAGGAACCCTTTTCTCAGCCCTTTCCCACTATTGTTGTGAAAATGGAGCCATTGCGCCACTTGATTCATCCTTGTCTATTGTGATGCATAAAGCACTTCTTTGTTGAAAATTTTCTGTCACCCTTGTTCTTATATATTCAATAGCTTCGTCCCCTTCTAGCCTAGCACCTTGAGCAGTAGTTATAAACTTCTGCTCTAGGCTCGTCTCATTTCTTAGGGAATTTAGATGGTTCCAAAATTTCACAGCTGCCTTTCTATCTTTTTTATGTACATCTGCCAGCCACTGGGCTCTCTTTCTTCTAATCTTTTCATTGATCAGAAGGGATGCATCCCTTCTACAGCTTAGAAAGATTTCCCATTTTCTTTCAACATCATCTGTCGGTTCACCCCGCTGCTTAGCATGTCTGTGTTCCCTAGAGGCTCCCTGACGTTTTGCTATGGCTCTCTTAACTTTCTCATTCCACCAGCTTTTGGGTCTGTGTCTTTTTTTCCGGGGTGACTTGTCACGTGCCTTAGCAAGCTCTAGCTGAAACAATCTAACTAGATTCGTGTATGTCCACACTGTTTTATTATCCTCAGTGATTGCTTTCTCACTTTGTTTAGTGGCTGTTTCAATTTGCCTTTCTGAATAAAAATTTTCCTGTAGTTGCTCATCTTGTCTCCTTCCCACTTTCACTGCTCTACCAAAACTTAGCTTGATACGTTTGTGATCACTACCCAGACTTCTAGAGCCACTTTCATCTATGTGCATTCCCCTGAGCTTATCATACATGCTATGTGACATCAGTGCGTAATCTATTGTCGACTGTAGCCTTCCTACTTCCCGTCTTATTTGCCCTTCACACTTCTCGGTACTGTTGCAAATGATCAAATCAAGCTTTTCACACATATCCATGATCGTTTTGCCGGCCGGGTCGGTATACCGATCTATATCTTCTATGTGTGCATTCATGTCTCCTAGTATAATTATCTCGCACTCTCTTCCTAACTCCTGAATGTCCTTTGATATACACTCCACCATCGCCTGGTTTTCCCCTCTGGCCTTTGCTTCCGTCCACAAGTACACGAAACCAAGGAGTGTGAATTGCCCTGCCACTTTCCCTTTTAGCCATAAATGTTCCTTGCACTCCTGCTTGACCCTTTGCCAGTCTGTACTTTTATGATTGAATGCCCCAATACCACACCCCTTTCTGCTGCCTTCTGTTCTATTACAATAATCCCACTCGTCCGCATTGTTAGCAGGTTGTTCCGTGTCCCTGAGATGTGTTTCTACAAAACCGTATAGCATCGACCTTTCCTCCCTTATAGCTGTTCTTCAATTTCTTCTCACTTCAGCCTGTTCCTACCACCCTGCATGTTAATATACCCTATGTCTGACTTGGCTCGGCGCTCGTGGCTATACGTCTATTTCTGCCCCGGACCCTACCTATCTTAGATACTGGTGCCACTTTGGAATCGTATCTGTCCATACGACCTGTCAAAGAGTCTCCCTGGTTGTTTTCCTCGTTACTAGCTATCCTACACCCTGAAGGGCCCGCTTGCCCCCCAAAAAAGCTACTGCACATCCTGCAAGCCGCCAACCCACCTCATGACCTAGCCGCTCATCGAAGTGAATTCTGTCTCGTTGAAAACCACCCCACCTATGCACCTCTCTGTTTATTTCCACCACCTCAAAGCCTTTCTCTCGACTCATCCGCCATATCTCTTGGTTTGCGTTGACAACCGCTCTTTGCAGGTTGCTATCTCGTACCGGTAGCTCAGGTATCGTGCATATCCCTACCTGTACCTGAGGAGAAGTGGCGCGCATGTCATTGACGCCTTTCGCCAGTGTAGTTCCTAGTCCAGCTGTATCTTCATTTAAGACATCGTTTAAACCGCCTGGAATTATCACGAGGTTTCGTCTATCAGCTGTAGTTTTGAGTTTTGCGCACGCTTGTCTCATGACTGCTTCCAGCTTGCGTCCTGGGAACGCCCCTACTGCAACCCTCTTGTCACCTCTTACTCTCTCTTTGATGGCTTCTGTGCATCGATTTAA